AGGAGGCTCTGCATCCGCGTTGCGCTTCACTTGTCCCTGCGGGCGATTACGTTGCGGAAAAGTGGGAACAGCCACTCGGGGAAGAGGAGGCCGAGGACGGTCTGCGTTACTGCTCGGTTCATCCTCGGTAGAGCCACTGGCTGCAGGAGACGACTGAGGCATGTAGGGGCGAGGAGTCGGGCGTGTGCGTGCAGCAGCGGGAGACGGAGTGTAAACAGGCCGGTGCCGTCTAACTACCGTACTGCTGGAATCTGGAGAGGTTGCCATCTAAACCTACTGCAGGTTGGTGTCACTGGCCATAGCTAAACTGCGTTTGAACTAACGAAGTAGCGACAGGGAAAGAAGCGCACTTATAGCCTGCCGAGCACAACACAGATTCGAGCAATGGAGCCGCTGCATAAACGAAAGATGAGAGTCGTTTGAGGGAGAGGGACGTGACCAAAACGGGCACGACGTGACCGAAACAATGACAACGCAGCACAGTGAAGAATTCCAGCCTCGGAGGGCCCATGCAACCTCGCCGCGCGATGCTAGCACTATTTTCACCCAATCAGGGCCAGAGGTGGCCCATTGGAACTGCCATGTGACAGGTTATAGTGGGGGGTTGCATTATCGTCGCATACTCAATTTCGCGCGCGCGAACACCATTTTCCTAGTCAAGTAAGAACCCTGTTTTTCTTTCCAATCAATTCTGCTTAAAAAAACATGTGCTATATATATGAACCCGGGTGTTATGTAGCTTTTGCCATTGAGAAGACCCCCCCCATTTTTTCACTGTATTTAAAGTAAGACCCTAGGGTGTTATATCCGGGTGATTACGGTACTTTAACTGTTTTTGCTGTCGCACTGTATTTTTAGTCGAGTCAAAGGTCAGCGACCTTTGACCTTCGCGTAACCTCCAGCGGTTACTTTTGTTGACTCGCGTGTTGTTTCGCTGTAGTCTGCTCTGTTTCGTGTCGATACTCCGATTACTTCAGAAGCGTTGAATTACTTGTTTCCAACAGTTAGTAGTGATTACTCTGCGTCTGCATCTCCCCCCATGCAACTGTACCGGGAAAAAATCGAGGCCTCGAAGTTCAATGTGGTACAGCAAGGTTCTACAGAAAATCAGATGCGATGTTGGCTTGCAGCGAGGCACCCTACCCTGACCCACTGCCAGTCCACTCCCTGATTCATCATTGCCCATTTCACAGCGGTGTGGTTTGCGACGCAAAAGAATATCCAGAAGGATTCAGTTCAGAACGATTCAGAACGGTTCAGAAGGGGGCCCAGTGCGTGGGGAAGCGCGCAGTGTTCCAGCGCTTCTCGTGCACGGCCCACAGCGGCCATTGCAGCTGCTGCAGCAGCGTCACTCTGAGCTCGTGCATCTTCCTGTCCGCCTGCTTCGGATCATCCTCCAACACCTTGTTTAGGATCTGATGTGAGTGATGAGGGGGTGAAGAGGGGAAAAGATGCGGGAACGGGGTGGGGGTGAGGAATGCATGGGCAATGACAGGTGAGTAACCCTGAGCTCATGCATCTTCCTGTCCGCCTGCTTTGGGTCATCCTCCAACACCTTATTTAGGATCTAATGAGAGTGGAGGGAAGAGATGGGGGAGAGGGAAGTGAGGGCTCTGACCAGCAGCGCCACCCTGAGCTCATGCATCTTCCTGGCTGACTGCTTCGGATCGTCCTCCAACACCTTGTTGAGGATCTGCGAGTGTGATGGTGGGGAGGAACGAGTGGGGGGAGAAGGGGGCAACAAGGACGGGCATTGCAATCACTGGCAGTGTCACTCTGAGCTCATGCATCTTCCTGTCTGCCTGCTTGGGATCATCCTCCAACACCTTGTTGAGGATCTGATGTGAGTGGGAAGGAGAGGTGTGTAAGGATGTGCAAGCCATTCGCTATCAAGTTCTTCGGGTGGGACAAGAAAACACTCCTTCCTACCCATCCCACCCCACCCTTCCCCCCTCCCTCTTACACCCCCCCCCCCCACCCACTTTGCCCCACACTACCCCCTCCCCCTCTTCCCGCTTGCTCCCCTTTTCTGCATACCTTGAGTGCGAGTGCGGGGCGGTTGGCGCGTCGTTCCCTCATGATGCCCAGCATGCCGTACTTGGACTGAGACACGTCCGCCCACTTGCGCAGCTCCACATAAGTCTCCTCAAACGCATCACCATTAACACCAGCACCAGCACCAGCAGCCGAAGACGCACCACCATCACCTGTACCTGGTGCTGCTGCCCCTGCCCCTGCCTCCGCCCCTGCTTCCCCCCCTGCTGCTGCTGCTCCTCCTAACGCATCAACTGCTGCTGCCAAAGCACCTGTATCTGGTTCACTGGTCCCTGCTCCCCTTGCTGCTGCAGCTGCTGCTGGGGTATCAGGTAAGGGGTCAAGAGCGGTTGGAGCAGCAGCCGAAGGAGCATCAGCGGGCGATGGTGCTGCTTCGGTGGTGGTGAGAGTGGAGGTTTCCGGGGCGGCAGCTGCTGGTGACTCTGTTGCTGCCTGGTAGTAGCAATGGTCAATGGAGGTGAGCGCAAGAGGAAAATAGAGAGGGATGTGCGAGGATGGGATAGATACGAAAGGATGGGATGGGATGGAAAAGGAAGGATGGGCGAGATGGAACGGAGAGTGTGAGAGGGAGCATGTTTATCTATGGGAGCAGGGTACGAGAGGAATGAATGACGCCTCCAGGAGGCACGAGAAGAAACTGGAAGAACTGTCAAGCCCGAAAGAAACGATAACGGAACATTCAGGCAATACCAACAAAAGAGGGCATGCACAATCCAAGCAATCGACGGCTTGTGAGAGAAATCTACGTAGCTGGAGCATCCATGCATGTGCACATGTGTACACGTGGGTACGCTAGGATCAGAGACATGACAGCATGGCGGCAAGGCAGCAGGACTCACAGCAGAGGGAGCAGCAGGGAAGGGTGACTGCAGGTCACCAAGAGCGAGTGCCTTCTTGTGCAGAGCCTCTATCAGAGCATCCCTCTGTGCCTCCTTTTCTTTCTTCTCCTTCTAATGATGGCCATGGGCGACCGGGGGGGGGCGGAAGAGCGAAGGCGGAAAGTGGTGAGGGTAGTGGGTAAAAAGGCGATGAAAGGGAGGGAAAAAGGGAAGAGGGGCGAAAGGGGACGTATTTTCTCAGGCAGAATAGCCTGACAAGGAACAGAGGAGCAGGAGTGCTTCTCCCCTTTTTTGTGAAAGCTGAAACAGGTGCTTAGGAGGGTGAAAGAGCAGCTTTGAAAGAAGGGCGGAGAGAATGAGTGAGGCATGAAGACATGAGGGAGCGAAGCGGGAAGGGGAACGGGAAGGGGAAGAGAAAGGGGAAGGGGAAGGGGAAGGGGAAGGGGAAGGGGAAGTGGAAGGGGAAGGGGAAGTGGAAGGGGAAGAGGAAGAGGAAGGGGAAGGGGAAGGGGAAGGGAATGGAAGCATCAGCAGCAGCAAGATGAAAGCAGTTTCTCAAAATCGCAACCTTAACACGCCCCAATCACATCCCCATGATGTGCACAAAACCACCGAGTGCACACACCGCCTTCTCCAACCTGCCTGCATTCACACCCACCTGTGCGTCGGCCCCCTCTGGTTCGCACTTCATGGCCAGGAAGACTGCCAGAGCCGTGCGGTCAATGCTGGCCACCACTGCATCTGCTGCCTCCACCACCTAGCATGAGCAGAGAGGGGAAGGAGGAGGGGGGAGGAAGCGGGAGGGGGAGAGGGATAGGGAGTGTTGGGAGGGGGTTAGGTGTGAAGCTGGTTCAGCCGATGCTGGCCACACCACTGCATCTGCTGCCTCCACCACCTAGCATGAGCAGAGAGGGGAAGGAGGAGGGGGGAGGGAGAGACGGAGGAGTGTTGGGAGGGGATAGGTGTGAAGCTGGTGCGGCAGTCAATGCTGGCCACCACTGCATCTGCTGCCTCTAGCACCTGGCATGAGGAAGGGCGAGGGAGGGAAATGGACGGAGGGAGAGGAGAACGGGGGAGGAGGGAGAGGGTTGGGTGGGGAGTTGGTGCGATTAATGCTGGCCACCACTGCATCTGCTGCCTCTAGCACCTGGCATGAGGAAGGGCGAGGGAGGGAAATGGACGGAGGGAGAGGAGAACGGGGGAGGAGGGAGAGGGTTGGGTGGGGAGTTGGTGCGATTAATGCTGGCCACCACTGCATCTGCTGCCTCCACCACCTGCCACGGGGCCAAGGGGAGGGAGCGAGATGGAGGAGGGAGGAGTTCCAGGGGAGGGCAGTGAGGGGAGAGGGCATGCTAAGCGTATGTAGAGACATCTAGGAACGCGTGAGAGGTGGAAGGAAGGGGAGCATCTTGAGCAGAGAGGGGCATACCTTGAGCAGGGACGTGGGTCGCATCTTGGGATCGTCGTAGAAACGAAGCACTTCCAGCAGCAGAGGCAGGTGATTAGGATACTCCTCCTGGAGCCATGGGCACACGGGCGCACGCAGAGGCGAGCGGGAAGGAAAGATGGGAGGACAGGAGGAACGGGGGGAATTAGCCAGGGAGGGAAGGGAGAGGAAGACTTGGAGCAACGAAGATGGGAGAAGTTGGGGGAGGGTGGCAGAGGATGGGAGAGTGTAGAGGGCGAATAGCAGGAAGGAAAAGAGGAATTATGACCAGATGGAAGGAACAAAGATGCAATGAGAATCCCAACCTCTGTTGTGACGGATGCTTAGTGTTCCTCGAAAGTGATTGTAAGCACATCACACACCCACAGATGAAAGGCTGGAAAAACCCTAGAGTACTGACGCTTGCAATGCAAAACAACAAAGATAATGAAAAAACAACGCCCACGAGAGCGAAGGAGGAAAAGACAGACACAGCGAGATACAAAGAGACGAGTAGAAAAGCGAGGAAGCGAGGAAAAGAACAAAGGTTGAAAGGTTCAAGTAAGGGAAAAGGAAAGAGACGGAGAGCAGGATGGGAAGGTAACTCTCAAGTCAACTCAAAAGTCACACAGAAGTGGATAGAGCAAGCTGGAGCAAAAGAGAGAGAGAGAGAGAGGAACAGAGAGATAGTGAGAGCGAGAAAGATGGTCTAAGGGGGACCGGAAGGAGGTGGAGGAGGATGGCAAGGAGGCGCCTCAGGTGGTGCGAGCGTGCCTTGAGTTGCTGTGCCAGCGCCACAAACTCGCCCTCGCCCTTCGCCTTGTCCCGCTCCTCCGCTGCCACTGCTGCCAGCACCTTCACCTTGGCATCGCGCAGCTGCCAGGGTTGGGGATTGTCAGGGGTGTTCAGGAGTTTGGGATTGTCACATTGCGGAATTGGGTCCTCCTCCGCTGCCACTGCTGCCAGCACCTTCACCTTCACCTGCACCTACACCTTCACCTTCACCTTGGCATCGCGCAGCTGCCAGGGGTAGGGGGTAAGGTTTCAGGGTTTAGGGATTGCGGTGAAAGAGCTTGAAAATAGGGATTAAGTTTTGGAGTTGAAGATAGTGGCAGGGAGGGGAAGAATAGAGGGGGATGGATGCAACGAAACGATGAAGAGTGGAATTGAAACGCAAGCAGGGGGGTTCAAAGAGGAGCTAAAAAGTGGGCGGGCAGGAGGACGCCTTACCTCCTCTTGCATTCTCTCGGTGGCCGTTTTAGTGGGAGGAGCTGAACCGGAGGAAGAGGAGGACTTCTTATCGTCACCCTGGTGGTGTCGGAGAGGGGGGAGAAGGGGGGAAAGGTGGGAGAGGGGGAAAAGGCGGGAGAGGGGGAAAAGGTGGGAGAGGGGGAAAAGGTGGGAGAGGGGGGAGGCTGAAAGCATAAGCTGCTTGAGTGAGGTGATCGGAATCTGTTATCATCGTGGTGGTGTAGGGAGGAGGTATGTTGAAATCGCTTTTCAGAATTCTCTTTTGAGAATTTTTCTTTTGAGAATTCTCAAAAGTGATGAGAATTTGTTATCACCGTGGTGGTGAAGGGAGGGGGTGGGGAGACGAAAGGAGTGCCAAGGATCGCAGAGAGGGATGATGGGGTCATGGGGAGGGGATGGAGTGCTGCAGAAGGTACAGTGCAGTGCAATGCAGTGCAGTGTGGTTAACTGCGGTCTGGTTCAGTGTAGTGCTGGTTAGGCATGAGCATGGCTCGTACGCCCAGTGCAAGTCGAGGTAGAAAGGCACTAGATTTGATTGTGACATGCCACATGATAACAGGATGCAGCGCAAGACACAGAAAACAAACAGGCCCTATTACCTCTTACACCCTGCACACCACTCGCACACCACACACACACCTTGTTAGGGGGCGGCACCACGTGGGTGACATGCACGCGGCACGGTGCAGCAGCGTTGGTGTCCGTGTTGACAAACAGACCGCCAGTCTTGGGTAAACTCAAAAACAGCACACCTTGTTAGGAGGCGGCACCACGTAGGTGACATGCACGCGGCACGGTGCAGCAGCGTTGGTGTCCGTGTTGACAAACAGACCGCCAGTCTTGGGTCAACTCAAAAACAGCACACACCTTGTTGGGAGGCGGCACCACGTAGGTGACATGCACGCGGCACGGTGCAGCAGCGTTTGACTCCGTGTTGACAAACAGGCCCCCGGTCTTGGCAAGCGTCATGCGGCCCAGTAGCAGCGTGCCAGGTGTCGCGTCCTGACGGGATGGGAGGCCAGTGGGGAAGAGAGATCGGGAACACGAGAGGCAGAGGGGAAAAGTGTGGGTGAGGAGAGACATGCAAAGGAGGGGAATGAGATGAAGGACAAGAGGCAGTGGGGAAGATGCAGGGAGACATGAAGGCATGGCGTGGGTATCTACACTAGCATTGGTGTGGAGGTGTGGAGGGAAGACCGGGAGGAGGAGAGCAAGGACGAGCGCGAAACGAAAGGTGGGGAGATCGAGGGAGCGAGCGAGGGAAAGAGTGAGGGAGAGAGTGAGGAAGAGGGCAAGCGAGCGAGCGTGGAAGAGGGCGAGGGAATGAGTGAGAAAGAGGGAGAGTTGAGGCACCTTTGGGAGGTCGCCAGGGCCTGAAATGAAAAAGGCTCGCTTCTCACTGTACTCACAGACACACACACACACACACACACACACACACACACACACACACACACACACACACACACACACACACACACACACACACACACACATGCACGCACGCACGCACGCACGCATGCACGCACGCACGCACGCACACACACACACACACACACACACACGATTTTGCATGTGCACATGCACGCACACACACACACACACACACACACACACACACACACACACACACACACACACACACACACACACACACACACACACACACACACACGATTTTGCATGTGCACATGTACGCACACACACACACGCTCATGCGTTTACATACACATACGATCACACACGCACACGCAGGAACCATAAATGGAGGAGGAGAACAGAGATTGTCTTGTGTGATCCTATAATAACAATGAGGTGCTGGCTCATGTGAGTTAAGCGGATCAGTGGCTTGACATGTCTACTGCGGTGCTTTTGAGAATTCTCAGAAGCGACTCGGATGTAGCAAACGTCGTGAATCGAGGTGCGCCACAACTCACTTGGGAGCCATGAGGGCGTTCTTGACTGTGTCGCTGCCAGCAAAGATGGCACTGTCCGCTGAGTTGTACACGCCTAGCTTCAACGCCGACTGAGAATGGAGGGGGGCGAGGAAGGGATAGGGAGTTGGGAGCGATGAGATGTTTGGAGGGATTGCACTGCCAGCAAAAATGGCACTGCCTGCTGAGTTGTACACGCCTAGCTTCAACGCCGACTGGGGACGCACGAGGGCGAGGGAGGGAAAGAGGGGGAGATGGGAGCGATGGGATTTGAGGGAGGCATGCTTTGGGAGGGATTGTACTGGTGGAAAAGATGGCACTGTCTGCTGAGTTGTACACACCAAGCTTCAGCGCCAACTGGTACGAGGGCAAGGGAGAGAGGGAAAGGGGGTTGGAAGCGATGGGTTTGAACAGAGGGACTGGACTTTTTAAGAAATTGGCACTGTCGACTGAATCTTACACCCCTAGCTTCAGCACCGACTGGGAAGGAAAGGGACGAGGCCAAGGCAGGAACGGAGGTCAGAGAGAAAAAAATTGAGTGAAGAAAATTCGAAGGGATTGGTTAACTACTTTGAGTCAACCCAGACCCCCCCTCCCTCCTCTTCCCCACCCCCTCCCCTCCCATCCCCGTCCTGTCCCTTCCCCCCTCCTTTTCCCCTCCCCCTCGCTCTCACCTTATCCTCCAGTGCCCTGTCCAGCAGCAGCGGCATGGTCTTGAGCTTCTCCAGCCGCCCCACCTTGTCGCCCCGAATCTGCAGCTTCACCGTGAACTCGCCCTTGCCCAGCTTCACGGGCTTGGGGTAGGCGTCCTCGCAGGCGAGCACGCGGCGGTGCGAGTCGAAGAGCTGGAAGAACTGCCCTTCTATCTCGCTGTCGTACAGCCGCTGGTTCAGGAGTGGTAGGCGAGGGGTGTAGCGCCCTGATTCCGATATCGAGAACTTGTAGCTGGGGAAGTAAGGGGGTGAAGGGAAGGGGAAACGGAATGGGGCGAGAGCGGGGGGAAGGGGGAGGAAATGGAACGGACGGTGCTATATGAGGTGCCACAAAAAACTTTTGAGGTGCCTCAAAAGAGGAGAGGAAATGGGAGGGACGGCGGCGCCATGAGGTGCGTCAAAGTCACTGCGAGGTGAGTGCTGTATGCACGTACGTGATGTTGAGCGCCTGGATCTGCCGGCCATCCGGCAGCATGTCTCTGGTGGACGAGAGGGGCTCCACTTTCGCCTCTGATGGGCGATACGCCGACCGCACCTGACCCACACACCCACACACACACACCATTGCAAGAGGGGAGGTGGGAGGGGGGGGGGTAGTGCAGCGGGCCAACGGGGAGAGGGGAAGGGGAGGGGGAGGGGGAGGGGGAGGGGGAGGGGGAAGGAGAAGGAGGGGGAGGGGGAGGGGGAAAGGCGGGAAGGGGGTTCTTGTTTTGGCTCAAAAGGTGGTGAGTGAATTGAATTACATGTGACATCATGTCGTGGGTTGTGCAGTGACCCTAAGGGGAGCGGACGGAGGGGTTGGATAGAGGGGGAGAGGGGAGGGTGGTCCAGGAGGGAGAGTGGAGTTACAAAGACTATCTGGAGGAAGTATGGAGGAACAGAGAAACGGGGCAAGAGGAGGGAAGCACTTATGAGATGAGCCAAGAGTGAAAACCGCGTGTAATGAGTCTGCTTTTGAGTCGACTCAAAAGCAGAAACGGGGCAAGAGGAGGGAAGCACTTATGAGATGAGGCAAGAGTGGGGAACACAAGACAATAAGGGAAGCGGAGGGGGGCAAGGTAGAATTGGGAAGCAAGAAAGGGGGGTTGGGAAGGTGCAGGGCGGGAGGGGTGGGAGGAAGAAGGGGAGAGAGGGCGGGAGGACGGAGGGACAGGGCAGGATTGGGAAGCAAGCAAGGGGGGGCGGGACTAAGGGACGAGGGAAAAATGAGGCAGTGTGAGCGAGGGAGAGTATTCTGTTGAGGGAGACAGAGGGGGTGAATCAGTCTATGCGGAAGGGAGGTGGGCAGGACAGGGCCGGATTGGGGAGGAAACAAGGGAGGGCGGGAGAATGGGCCGAGGGGAAAGGAGGCAGTGTGTGTGAGCAAGAGAGAGAGAGAGAGGGAGCGTACTCTGTTGAGGGAGACAGTGGGGGTGAATCGCTCCATGCGGAAGGGAGGTGGGCAGGACAGGGCCGGATTGGGGAGGAAACAAGGGAGGGCGGGAGAATGGGCCGAGGGGAAAGGAGGCAGTGTGTGTGAGCAAGAGAGAGAGAGAGAGGGAGCGTACTCTGTTGAGGGAGACAGTGGGGGTGAATCGCTCCATGCGGAAGGGAGCAGATGCGATGTCGATGCGTTGCACGTTGGAGCCCCCATTCATGGTCACATCGCCATGCACTGGCATCAGCCCGTGGAAGTCCACCTGCCAGCCCCCACCATGCCATGCAGAGCATGCCATGCCATGCCATGCCATGCCATGCCATGCCATCCACACACCATGCCATGTGATGCCACGCCACACACACCATGTCATGAAGCACAAGCAGATGCCATACCATGTAACAGCAGAAAATTAGGTAACCTAAGCTGGGAAAGCTGCCAGGGGGGGAGAAAGAGTTGAATTGAAGAATGTTAAGATAGTGAGGAGCAGGACTTTTGAGTCGACTCAAAAGTCAACTAAGATAGTGAGGAGCAGGACTTTTGAGTCGACTCAAAAGTCAACTAAGATAGTGAGGAGCAGGAGGGACAACGACTGGAGACAGGGGTTCGAGAAGAGTAAGGGGAGAAGGGAGGGCAGGCTGGGGTGGGGTGGGGAGAGAGTTGGATGGCGGGGGGAGGGCGGGGGGAGGGCGTGGGGAGAGGGAAGGGTCGTGTGGCAAAGCATGGGAGAGACTGGATGAAGAGCAGTCAGCAGCAGGAGAGAAATTGACTGACATTCAAGTTTTGAGACGTCTCAAAACGAGATAGGAAATTCCCTCCCCTCTCCCTCCCTTTTCTCACCCCCACGCTACTTTCCCCAGCCTTTTCCACACCGTCTCTAACTTACCTCTAGGTCAGCCTGCGGGGGAGGCTCAGAACCGCGGCCACAGAACCAGTTGAGCCCCACTGCGACCTCCAGCGTGCTTCCCCCTTCCACGAGGATCGAGAGCGTCTTGGAGGAGGGCGCTGAGAACTGGTAGAAGGCCCGCGTGCGGCGATACGTGGGACGGCGGGCTGGGAGGAGCTGCAGCGTGTGAATGACGACGGTGAGAGGCACGGTGAACGCGGAGAGGTGCAGGTGGATTTCAGCCCAGGCCGACCCGTGTGGGACCGTGATGAACGTGCGATGCACATCTCCTGGGGTGGGGGGAGGAGATAGGAGGGGCAGAGGGAAGGCAGGAGAGGAGTGTGTGTGAGGGTAGGAGGGTAGCTGGAGATAGGGGGCATGGGCAGGGACGTGGGTGGAAGGGCTTTTGAGGCGCCTCAAAAATGGAGATAGGGGGCATGGGCAGGGACGTGGGTGGAAGGGCTATGGAGGAGAAGGGAGGGGAGTGGGATCTGTGGCAGCAGTTGCAGCATGTGAATGACGACGGTGAGAGGCACGGTGAAGGCGGAAAGATGCGAACGGATCTCCGCTATATTGGTGCGACTTTTGAGACTTCTCAAAAGTCGCACCAAAGATGCAGATGGATCTCCGCTCATGCAAATCCGTGTGGGACCGTGATGAACGGGCGATGCACGTCCCCTGCAGAGGAGGGAGGCGAGCGGGGGAGATGGAGGGCAGGAGGGAAGGTGGAACGGGAGAGTGAGAGGGGAGGTACGCTGCAGAAAGGGGCATGGGGAGAGATGTGGTGGGAATGGGAAGGGGCATGGAGAAGAGAGGTGAGGGGGGTCTGCTGCAGCAGGTGCAACATGTGGATAAGGACAGAGAGAGGGACTGCTAGGCAGAGAGATGCAGATAGGGGCAGCGACAGCAGCAGCAGAAGCGGCGGCAGACAGTCACCAACCTGGTTGCAGCATGCCGAAGGGGAACGGTGAGGGAGAGCAGGGTTGGGCGGAACGAGGGGCTTGACGACCGTGATGGGTATGCGGAAAAGGGCTATGGGGGAGAAGGGAGGGGAGGGGGGATCTGTTGCAGCAGCAGCAGCAAGTCACCGACCTGGTTGCAGCATGCCGAAAGGGAAGCGGTGAGGGAGAGCAGGGTTGGGCAGCACGAGGGGCTTGACAACCGTGATGGGTATGCGGAACAGCGCCCCCTGCCACTCGTTGGCGGTGTCTATGGCACGCAGCTCTGCGTAGTGCAGGCCGGGAGGGAGCGAGGAGGGATCCACCCGCACACTGGTGGGCGGAGGGGCGTGAAGGAGCAGAAAAGGGGTGACGAAAGGGGGGACGAGGGCATGGGAAGTTGAGACCGGAGAACATGAACTGATAAGAGTCGGCAACGATCAGGAGGAAGGAAAGCTGGACTTGCTGGCATGGCATGGAACGACAGACCATAAATCACAGCACAGAGAACTGGCACAGGAAACGGGAGGCAGCACTGACTAGAAGTTGCGGCCGTTGTTGGGGAGAAGCAGCAGGTCGGGTGCCTTGACCCAGTCAGCGGTGGGCACAAGTTTGAGCGTGCGCTCAAAGAGTGCCTTCACTGTTAGGTTGTCTGCATCCTCGTGGAACCACGGATCCACAAATACTTGCCACTGCGGACCATGCACACGCACATGCACACGCACATGCAAACGCACATGCACACGCACATGCACACGCACATGCACACGCACATGCACACGCACATGCACACGCACATGCACACGCACATGCACACGCACATGCACACGCACATGCACACGCACATGCACACGCACATGCACACGCACATGCACACGCACATGCACATGCACATGCACACGCACATGCACATGCACACGCACATGCACACGCACACGCACATGCACATGCACATGCACATGCACACGCACACGCACATGCACATGCACACGCACATGCACATGCACATGCACACGCACATGCACATGCACATACACGCACATGCTCATGCACATACACACACATGCACACGCAAACGCACACGCACATGCACATGGACAGATGCCCATGGATTGAGAGACTAATTGATGCAAGGCCGCGAGTTAAATTGGGGTTTGGCAGATCTAATAAAAGATACTTGCAGAGCTGATCAGTAAAGGAAAAGGAAGAAAGAGGAGAGAGGAAAGAAAGGCACCTCTGAAGGAGCAGCGGCCTCCCCTGGTTCCCTGATGTAAATGCCGCGACGAGAACCCCCTGGCGAAGCGAATGTGACGAGAGGGGGGTGATACGGGAAGACAAGAAAGGCACGGATGAGGGTTCAGGACAGAGGAGGAGAAGGCTGCAAGGAGAAGAATCAGTGTACTGCAGGCACAGAGAGTGGAGGTGTGAGAGGAGTGGAACGAAGGCTAGTCATTTCGGAAAAAAAAAGAAGAAAAAGAGCACGGGAGCAAAAAAAGGCAGTCAGGGTTTGCTAAACTCAGGTTAAGAGGCAAACCCCTGTATTGAGTCAAACCCCTGTATTGAGTCAAACCCCTGTATTGAGTCAAACCCCTGTACTCACCTGCTTTTAGCCCCCATGTCTCTCACCTGCTCTGGACGCTGCTTTGACGAGCACTGAGTAGCGGATGTCAGATGTGAGCTCGAGGGACTGTGATGCAGGGTGACGACAGTAAGGGCTGCTGAAGAACTAGTGAAAGGAGGCACATGCTCATAGCCTCCCCCCCTCTGTGTCTCGCTCACCTGCTCCTGAGGCTGCTTTGACGAGCACTGAATAGCGGATGTCTGAAGTGAGCTCGAGGGACGATGCTGGGTGATGACACAGGTACTCGAATGCCCTGTCGAATGGTGAATGCATGCATGGCCAACCAGGTGAATGATACCCATGCGTTCACATGCACACATCCACATGCACACATCCACATGCACACACGCACACATGAACAGAGAGAAGTCGCACATCCCACACACAGTTATGTATGCGCGCAGATGGAAGCACACCTACATGTAAGAACAATAAGCAATCTCTCAACTCCATCTACTGCCACTTACTCCACTCCGCCCTCTCTGCACCACCTCCCCCGCCCCCACAGGAACCAACCTGGCAGGCCGCACGCACCTGTCGATCTGAACAAGCCCCCTGCCATGGGTGAGCGCCAGGGCTTGGTCCTCTCCCGCCAGATCCTCTGCTGTCACCTCCAGTGCACGCCGTATGGCATGCGGTCCCGGCTTCGCCACTCCCATGTCTTGCTGCGGAGCGGGTGGATGGGTGGGTGGGTGGGTGGGTGGGGGGAAAGTGGCTGTGCTGTGACCTGCAGCGCACGCTGTATGGCATGCAGTCCCGGCTTCGCCACTCCCATGTCTTGCTGCCGTGGGTGGGTGGGTAGGTGTGACGAAGGGGAGGGCAGGACTGGGCATGCAGTGTGGGAGGGGTTAAGGTGGTTGTGCTTCCAAGAGTGGCTCTGCCGTGACCTCCAGTGCACGCCGTATGGCATGCAGCCCCGGCTTCACCACGCCCATGTCTTGCTGTCAAGGCCGGAGGGACAGATGGAGAGGGAAGGAGGAAAGGACGAAAGAGGGTCTTGCCAAGCCTGCCTAAGGCAGAAGCACCTTGGGACCAGACCTTTATCTAGGACGCGGAGAAAGAACCTTGGGTGTGCAGGTGGATAACAGCATACGGGGGAGAGGAGACAATCTACCTTGATTGCCCACAAGTACCTTGAGAGCAGAAACAAGGAGAGCCACGCCCCCCGCGGCATTGGGAGACGCCATGGAGGTGCCGGCCATGAGCATGCGCGACTGCAGGTGGGCCGTGGGCACTGGTGCCATGGCTCCCCCTGGTGCACTCACACTCACGCCCTCGTGCCCGTCCGGAGTCGGGCCTCTGCTCGACCTGCAAGTAAATGTGCAGTCATGTGTGTGCATGGGTTGGAGGGTGGGGAGGGGTGCGTTTTTGAGTCGACTCAAAAGGAGGTGACTTTTGAGTCGACTCAAAAGTCGACTCAAAATTCGACTCAAAAGTCACCTCGTTGACCTGCAAGTAAATGTGCAGTCATGTGTGTGCATGGGTTGGAGGGTGGGGAGGGGTGCGGATGAGGGGACTGTGTTTGTTAAGGCGCCGCTATGGCCTCCCCTGGTGCACTAGCACACACACATACCCTTGTGCCCATCCGGGGTCAGGCCTCTGCTCGACCTGCAACTGCAAGCACACAGCTGCCGCCGTGCGGGAATAGGGGAAGCGGCGGTTCTGCACTGCATTGCACTGCACTGCACTGCACTGCACTGCACTGCACTGCGCTGCACTGCACTGCACTGCACTGCACTGCACTGCACTGCACTGCGCTGCGCTGCACTGCACTGCACTGCACTGCACTGCGCTGCGCTGCACTGCACTGCACTGCGCTGCACTGCACTGCACTGCACTGCACTGCAACCAACACTGGCCCGAGCACAACCCAAACGTTTCAAACTCTGCAACGTCCCGAAGTACCAAGTTCTCACCCACCTCCCTCCATTTCCCCGAACATCTGCCAACCCCCAGTCCCCATCACTCACACCCCACATCCCGTTCCCCAGCCATCCGTCCCCCCCTCCCCCCCCTCTTCCCCCCCCCCCTCCCTTAAACGCGCACCAGGTGTACTGCTGGCCATAAGCCGTATGCGTCGAGAGTGAGGTGAGAGGAGGCAGCAAGGGACGGGGACACAAACGCCACAGAAGCACTGGTTTTGAACGTTCGGCAACCCCCCACACTACCAACTTCCCAAGCACGCACCAGGTGTACTGCTGGCCGTCAGGCAGGGCGTCGAGAGTGAGGTGAGAGGAGGCAGCAAGGGACGGGGACACAAACGCGCCGATGCCTATGATGGACGAGGTCGTGCCTCCCGGTGCTGTCACTGTTGACAGCGCCGGCCCGTCGTTGCCAGCGCTGCTCACAAACGTGATGCCGTACTTGTTCACTATCTGTGGAGGGGGGGGGGGGGGTTGAGGGGAGGGGAGAGACAGGATGTGATGTGAGCTGAGCTGAAGTTGTCGTTGCCCGCGCTGCTCACAAACGTGATGCCATACTTGTTCACTATCTGTGGGGGGGGGGGTTGAGGGGAGGGGAGAGACAGGATGTGATGTGAGCTGAGCTGAAGTTGTCGTTGCCCGCGCTGCTCACAAACGTGATGCCGTACTTGTTCACTATCTGTGGGGGGGGGGGTTGAGGGGAGGGGAGAGACAGGATGTGATGTGAGCTGAGCTGAAGTTGTCGTTGCCCGCGCTGCTCACAAACGTGATGCCGTACTTGTTCACTATCTGTGGGGGGGGGGGGGGGGTTGAGGGGAGGGGAGAGACAGGATGTGATGTGAGCTGAGCTGAAGTTGTCGTTGCCCGCGCTGCTCACAAACGTGATGCCGTACTTGTTCACTATCTGTGGGGGGGGGGGGGGGGGGTTGAGGGGAGGGGAGAGACAGGATGTGATGTGAGCTGAGCTGAAGTTGTCGTTGCCCGCGCTGCTCACAAACGTGATGCCGTACCTGTTCACTATCTGTGGGGGGGGGGGGGGGGGGGTTGAGGGGAGGGGAGAGACAGGATGTGATGTGAGCTGAGCTGAAGTTGTCGTTGCCCGCGCTGCTCACAAACGTGATGCCGTACTTGTTCACTATCTGTGGGGGGGGGGGGTTGAGGGGAGGGGAGAGACAGGATGTGATGTGAGCTGAGCTGAAGTTGTCGTTGCCCGCGCTGCTCACAAACGTGATGCCGTACTTGTTCACTATCTGTGGGGGGGGGGGTTGAGGGGAGGGGAGAGACAGGATGTGATGTGAGCTGAGCTGAAGTTGTCGTTGCCCGCGCTGCTCACAAACGTGATGCCGTACTTGTTCACTATCTGTGGGGGGGGGGGGGGGGGTTGAGGGGAGGGGAGAGACAGGATGTGATATGAGCTGAGCTGAAGTTGTCGTTGCCCGCGCTGCTCATAAACGTGATGCCGTACTTGTTCACTATCTGTGGGGGGGGGGGGGGGGTTTGAGGGGAGGGGAGAGACAGGATGTGATGTGAGCTGAGCTGAAGTTGTCGTTGCCCGCGCTGCTCACAAACGTGATGCCGTACTTGTGCACTATCTGTGGGGGGGGGGGGGGTGTTGAGGGGAGGGGAGAGACAGGATGTGATGTGAGCTGAGCTGAAGTTGTCGTTGCCCGCGCTGCTCACAAACGTGATGCCGTACTTGTTCACTATCTCTGGGGGGGGGGGGGGGGGTTGAGGGGAGGGGAGAGACAGGATGTGATGTGAGCTGAGCTGAAGTTGTCGTTGCCCGCGCTGCTCACAAACGTGATGCCGTACTTGTGCACTATCTGTGGGGGGGGGGGGGTGTTGAGGGGAGGGGAGAGACAGGATGTGATGTGAGCTGAGCTGAAGTTGTCGTTGCCCGCGCTGCTCACAAACGTGATGCCGTACTTGTTCACTATCTCTGGGGGGGGGGGGGGGGGTTGAGGGGAGGGGAGAGACAGGATGTGATGTGAGCTGAGCTGAAGTTGTCGTTGCCCGCGCTGCTCACAAACGTGATGCCGTACTTGTGCACTCTGTGCGGGCGGTTGAGGGAGTGGTGATGGGAGTGTGTGTGTGATGTGAGCTGATTCTTGAGTTGACTCAATAATATAGACTCATCACAGTTTTGAGGAGCCTTAGAAACTAATCCCAGGCACCCCTTCCCTTAGAAACCTGGTTGGCGATGTCTATGAAGCGGCCGTAGTTAGGCACCACCCACCCACCCACCCCTACCCAACCCCACCCAACCCCACTGCCCCCCTTTCTGGCATCACCCACCCACCCCATTCCATCCCATCATCACTTCCTCCCGTCCACCCACCTCCAACTCCCCCTGGCACCTGGTTGGCGATGTCAATGAAGCGGCCATAGTTGGGCACAGCCACCGGCTTTTGAGACGTCTCAAAAGTCGCAGCTAGCCCCCCCCCCCCCCCCCCTCCCCCACGCACCTGGTTGGCGATGTCAATGAAGCGGCCATAGTTGGGCACAGCCACCGGCTCGCCATAGCTCATGTTGATCACATCGCACTTGTTCTGCGAGGGAGGGAAGGCAGGGGCGAATGCAGGGGGAGACGGTGGGAAGGGGGAAACGGGGGCAGGAGGAAGGGGGAAGGGGGACAGGGGGAAACGGGGACAGGGGGAAGGGGCGAAAGGGGGGAAGGGGAGACAGGGGAAATGAGAGGGGGAGACAGGGGGAAAGGGAGGGGGAGACACGAGAAAAGGGCGGGGGAGACAGGAACAGGAGGGGGCGACGAGGACAGAAGGGATAAGATGAAGAATAGGGATGGAAAGAGAGACGGAACAGGGTGGTCAGGGAGGGATGTTGTAAGTGAGGCAACTCGTCTGCAGCTTGTGATCGTCACATTATAACAATTTTAATGACGGAGAACAAGCAAACAGAGACAAACATGATGGCATCTCATTCAAATACACCCCTTCCTCCTCCCACCTTTCACTTCCCACCCCACCTACCAACTTGCCCCACCCAGCAGCAAGCCCACCCGACCACCTGTGGAGTGGAAGGTCTTAAAACTGTTGAATAATAAAATTCTCAAAGCAGTACAAGCTCCCCCACCTGCTGAGCGACGATGAGTGCGCGGATGAGCCCCTGAGGCGTTTCCATGGACCCCAGGCGCGTGTCGCCCACCTTGCACGACACCAGCTGCGCACCCGGCGCAATGCCATTCAGCTCTGGTGCCTGACGGGAAGGAGAGGGGAAGGGAAGGGAAGGGAAAGGAAGGGAAGGAGAGGGGAGGGTAGAGAGGAGAACACACAGACGTGTGAGCGCCCACCTTGCACGACACCTATGCCGTTCAGCTCTGGCGCCTGCAGGAGAATGGGGGGGGTGGGGGGAGAGGTGGAGGAAGGTTTAGAGTGGGATGGAGAGTGATAGAGAGAGATGGAGAGTGATAGAGAGAGATGGAGAGGGATGGAGAGGGGAGGAAGAGGGAATGGGGAAGGAAGGAGAGGGAAGGAGAGGGGACCAGGGTTTAGCGTAGAGAGGAGAGGCGGATAGAGGAGTGGGAGGACAAAAGAATGAGCAAGCCCGTGATGAGGAAAGAGAGGGGCGAAAGAAGAGGGATTGAACCAGGGGGGAAGGGAAGAAGGCGTCCGAATATTGGGAAGGATATAAAGGGAGAGAGTGTGGGGAGAAAGAGGAAGTGGGAGGGCGGGAGGGAGGGAGGGAGGGAGGGAGGGAGGGAGGGAGGGAGGGAGGGAGGGAGGGAGGGAGGGAGGGAGGGAGGGAGGGATTTGAACAGAAAAGAAGCTCTTCGGAAAGTAACGAAGTAGAGTGAGGAACTGTATAAGTGTACGGCTTTCAATAGGTGTCCAACAGTCATCCACCCAACCCCACCACTCGCCACACACTCACCCTACCGAACCCCTCCAGCCCAATCCAACCCAACACCACTCTCTTACACCATTCACACGTCCCCAACCCAACTGTACACCACCTCCCCGTCCCGCCCACTTCAAGAGTCCCAAAAAAGGTTAAAAAAAAAAAAAACAAAAACTGAGATAGAAACCAAGGGATCACCTCAGGGTGGCAAGCAGCCACGATCCCTGCCACGTGGGTGCCGTGAGCGCTGGCTTCCGTGACTATAGAGAGAACAGCGCCCTCGTCATATATGTTCACCGCAAACCCACAGGCGTCCATCGGGCTGAATATTGCATGCTGCCGCTCCAACCTGGGAGAGCGGGTGCGAAGAGATGAGATGAGATGAGATGAGATGAGATGAGATGAGATGAGATGAGATGAGATGAGATGAGATGAGATGAGATGAGATGAGATGAGATGAGATGAGATGAGATGAGATGAGATGAGATGAGATGAGATGAGATGAGATGAGATGAGATGAGATGAGATGAGATGAGATGAGATGAGATGAGATGAGATGAGATGAGATGAGATGAGATGAGATGAGATGAGATGAGATGAGATGAGATGAGATGAGATGAGATGAGATGAGATGAGATGAGATGAGATGAGATGAGATGAGATGAGATGAGATGAGATGAGATGAGATGAGATGAGATGAGATGAGATGAGATGAGATGAGATGAGATGAGATGAGATGAGATGAGATGAGATGAGATGAGATGAGATGAGATGAGATGAGATGAGATGAGATGAGATGAGATGAGATGAGATGAGATGAGATGAGATGAGATGAGATGAGATGAGATGAGATGAGATGAGATGAGATGAGATGAGATGAGATGAGATGAGATGAGATGAGATGAGATGAGATGAGATGAGATGAGATGAGATGAGATGAGATGAGATGAGATGAGATGAGATGAGATGAGATGAGATGAGATGAGATGAGATGAGATGAGATGAGATGAGATGAGATGAGATGAGATGAGATGAGATGAGATGAGATGAGATGAGATGAGATGAGATGAGATGAGATGAGATGAGATGAGATGAGATGAGGGTGTGTAAGGACCAAAAAACAGTCGTCGACTAGAAAATTGGTCCGGTATATGCGGTCATAGAAAATTGTAAGTCACTCACCTGTAGTTGGTCATAGGGGTGAAATCAGCCAAGCGCCCAGGCACAACAGCAGGCTTAGCCTCCCCTTCTTCCTCCCCAGACGCCCCAGATGCACCAGCAGCAGCAGCACCAGCAGCAGCACCAGCAGCAGCAGCAGTACCAGCAACAGCAGGAGCAGCATGAGCAGCATGAGCGATGTCAACATAGAGGTCAGTGGTATCGAGAGCTACACGCCACGTGGTGCCATCATGCCACACCACGGCATCTATCAGCGGCCCCATGTCCTCGTATGACTGACAGGTAGGAAGAATGGGAGGCGAGGGGGGACGTAGAGAGGGGAGAAGGAAGATTGGTGAGAAGCCTTCACACGCACGCACACCACAGCGTCTATCAGCGGCCCCATGTCCTCGTATGACTGACAGGTAGGAAGAATGGGAGGCGAGGGGGGACGTAGAGAGGGGAGAAGGAAGATTGGTGAGAAGCCTTCACACGCACGCACACCACAGCGTCTATCAGCGGCCCCATGTCCTCGTATGACTGACAGGTAGGAAGAATGGGAGGCGAGGGGGGACGTAGAGAGGGGAGAAGGAAGATTGGTGAGAAGCCTTCACACGCACGCACACCACAGCGTCTATCAGCGGCCCCATGTCCTCGTATGACTGACAGGTAGGAAGAATGGGAGGCGAGGGGCGGAATGTAGGAAAGAAGAGTGAGAGAAAGCGGGATGGAGGAACTGGGAAGCAGCGCATGCAAGGAGAGCAGCAGCAGCAGCAGCAGCAGCAGCAGCAGCAGCAGCAGCAGCAGCAGCAGCAGCAGCAGCAGCAGCAGCAGCAGCAGCAGCAGCAGCAGCAGCAGCAGCAGCAGCAGCAGCAGCAGCAGCAGCAGCAGCAGCAGCAGCAGCAGCAGCAGCAGCAGCAGCAGCAGCAGCAGCAGCAGCAGCAGCAGCAGCAGCAGCAGCAGCAGCAGCAGCAGCAGCAGCAGCAGCAGCAGCAGCAGCAGCAGCAGCAGCAGCAGCAGCAGCAGCAGCAGCAGCAGCAGCAGCAGCAGCAGCAGCAGCAGCAGCAGCAGCAGCAGCAGCAGCAGCAGCAGCAGCAGCAGCAGCAGCAGCAGCAGCAGCAGCAGCAGCAGCAGCAGCAGCAGCAGCAGCAGCAGCAGCAGCAGCAGCAGCAGCAGCAGCAGCAGCAGCAGCAGCAGCAGCAGCAGCAGCAGCAGCAGCAGCAGCAGCAGCAGCAGCAGCAGCAGCAGCAGCAGCAGCAGCAGCAGCAGCAGCAGCAGCAGCAGCAGCAGCAGCAGCAGCAGCAGCAGCAGCAGCAGCAGCAGCAGCAGCAGCAGCAGCAGCAGCAGCAGCAGCAGCAGCAGCAGCAGCAGCAGCAGCAGCAGCAGCAGCAGCAGCAGCAGCAGCAGCAGCAGCAGCAGCAGCAGCAGCAGCAGCAGCAGCAGCAGCAGCAGCAGCAGCAGCAGCAGCAGCAGCAGCAGCAGCAGCAGCAGCAGCAGCAGCAGCAGCAGCAGCAGCAGCAGCAGCAGCAGCAGCAGCAGCAGCAGCAGCAGCAGCAGCAGCAGCAGCAGCAGCAGCAGCAGCAGCAGCAGCAGCAGCAGCAGCAGCAGCAGCAGCAGCAGCAGCAGCAGCAGCAGCAGCAGCAGCAGCAGCAGCAGCAGCAGCAGCAGCAGCAGCAGCAGCAGCAGCAGCAGCAGCAGCAGCAGCAGCAGCAGCAGCAGCAGCAGCAGCAGCAGCAGCAGCAGCAGCAGCAGCAGCAGCAGCAGCAGCAGCAGCAGCAGCAGCAGCAGCAGCAGCAGCAGCAGCAGCAGCAGCAGCAGCAGCAGCAGCAGCAGCAGCAGCAGCAGCAGCAGCAGCAGCAGCAGCAGCAGCAGCAGCAGCAGCAGCAGCAGCAGCAGCAGCAGCAGCAGCAGCAGCAGCAGCAGCAGCAGCAGCAGCAGCAGCAGCAGCAGCAGCAGCAGCAGCAGCAGCAGCAGCAGCAGCAGCAGCAGCAGCAGCAGCAGCAGCAGCAGCAGCAGCAGCAGCAGCAGCAGCAGCAGCAGCAGCAGCAGCAGCAGCAGCAGCAGCAGCAGCAGCAGCAGCAGCAGCAGCAGCAGCAGCAGCAGCAGCAGCAGCAGCAGCAGCAGCAGCAGCAGCAGCAGCAGCAGCAGCAGCAGCAGCAGCAGCAGCAGCAGCAGCAGCAGCAGCAGCAGCAGCAGCAGCAGGCCGGTTTTAGTGCACACACACAACGCCGTTCCCTCCCATATATATTCACCCCTGATTGATCCCCCCCACCAACTCCACCCCCAACCCCAACCCTAACTCCCCCCCCCCCCCCACACACGCCCTGCCTCCTCCACTCACGTCCTGCATGGAATGCAGGAGCTGTCAAAAGAGGACAGGTGGGCTGCGGAATGCAGCAGATTCAATCGCGCCTAAAGCTCCTCCTCATCATATTTTACAGCGCCTCAAAACAGACCCCCACCTCACCCCCACCCCAACCGAACCAAACGCCCTTTCTCCCCCCTGCCTTGTCTTCCTCCCCCCCCCTCACGCCCAGCCTTCTCTCCCCCAGTCACGTCCTGCATGGATTGCAGCAGATCCAATTGCGCCTGAAGCTCCTTTTAAATATATTCTGGGAACCGAAAACAAATCAGAAACCCAGGGAGATCGTTGCCCCACCTCCACCTCCACCCCAACCCCAAACCCACCCAACCCCAACCGCAAACCCCACCCCAATCCCAACCCCAACCCCCACCCCAACCCCAACTGCAAACCCCACCCTGCCTTGCCTCCCCTCCCCCACTCACGTCCTGCATGGATTGCAGCAGATCCAATCGCGCCTGAAGCTCCTCCTTCTCCTTCTTGCCCGCTTCGTCCTTGGCCTTGGATGGCTTCTGCTGTGCGTGTTTGTGTCACGCAAGCACACCACACGCGTCCACAAGCCCATGTCAAGAACAAGCGCATGCACAAATCACGAGTAAGAACAGAGGAGAGGAAAGAAAGGGGGGGAGGGGGGCAGTGAGCAGCAGCAGACTCTCGCCTTGTCTCAATTCAAATCTATCTTGTCTCACCATTCCACCTAGTTTTTCCTGACATCGATTCCCCCACCCACCCCTTCTAAACCCCCCCCCTTCCAAACAGTCAACTATACTTCTGAGCCTCTTTTACCCTCCAGCTCATGTTCCTCACACTCACTCCCACAAAAAGCACCCTTCCATTCCCCTTAGATCGTAATTCTATCTACAATAGTTCCTTCACCTTTTCCACTAGCCTCCTTCCGTCCTCGTCTCTCCTCTTTTCTTTCAGAGGGCCGCTCGGCTCGCACACCGATGGCGAAGACCGTGAGTGAACAAACTACCACCGCCTGCTGCATCGCATCCTACTTCTGATCTGATACGTCTCGAAACGACTTTTTGAGACGTCTCAAAGCTCCTCTCTTCTTTCTGAGGCGCGCTCGCTTACCGATTCAAACTCCGCCAGCAGGCGAAGAGCCTGTGTGACCAACGCCTGCTGCCTCGCGTCCCATTTCTTGCGACGCTCCTTCTGTTACAGTGTGATGTGGTGGTAACCACGTGCCAGTGATGGATGGATGGATCATGGATGAATGAGGGTACGGAGCGGAGCGGATGTGCAGAAACATGGAAGGAGCAACAGGGTCGTAATCAGTTGGCATGTGCAGAAGAAAAAACGTGGAGCGTACGCACGCACCTAGGCAGCGGCAGGACATTTTTAAGAGTTCTCAGAGGCAGCGGGATGGGACACACTTCAACTCCTGCTTGTTCGCACCCACCCCCACACCTTCACCCAGCCACGCACCTTGACTCGGTCCAGCACGGTTTCATTTAGCACTTGATAGAGAGGCTTCACGCCCACACGCCACTCCCCTGATGGGTTGCTCCACGCACTGTTCACCTGGAGCCTTGCACCTAGATATTGCCGCCAAGGGGCAAATAGAGCGGAGATGAGGGAGATGGGAAGGGGTGTATTATGTGTGGTCAGTAACTCATCAAGCTGATAAGGAAAAGGTCAATTTCTGAGGGTTCTCAACGCAAGTCTGAATAGTTGGTTTGCATGGCCAAGAGATACAGGGCATGAGAGAGAGGTGCAGGGAGGTGGAGATGGTGGTGGTGTCGGTGCCTTGCATTGTATTGGTGATTTGACCTGCTCCCAGCAGCATAGGGGGCGAAGGGTAGAGCACTAGAGAGTCTCTACTAGAGAGTACCAAAAACACGCTCCAAAGCGAAGTCTGACTGAGTCACGTACGAGAGAGAAGGGAGGGGCGTAGGGGGAGCACCTGACGCTGGGAGGGCACTGAAGCTGGGAGGGCACCTGAAAATATGAGGGCACCTGACGCTGGGTGACGCTGGGAGGGTACCTGACGCTGGGAGGCACACCTGATGCTCCTGTGATGTAGCCATCTTTGTCTGCCTTGACCACTGTGCTCATGTCCACGTCCCCACTCCCCGTGCTGCTCACACACACACACACACACACATACATGCACACACACACGCGCGCACACACACACACGCGCGCGCGTGCGATGGAATGAGAAGGAGGAAGGAGAGGGGAGAGCCGGTTGAACAAGGCAAACAAGGGGCAAGAAGTCCGGGATGGTGACATGATGGCAAGAGCACAAGGATGGCGAGACACGCGCACATGAAGGTATGCATGCATGCACATACGTGCGCGCGCGTACACACACACACACACACACACACACACACACACACACACACACACACACACACGCGCGCGCGCACATACCAGTCGACAACATCGATGACCTTGGGCTTGCCATCGGTCGTCACCTGCAGGCCCGACGCCCCCGCATCCACCCCCGAGTCTGTGCACGTGCACACCGGAGAGAGCACATGGAGGATAAGGAGAGAAATGGTTACTCCCCGGGAGATTTTATAGCCATCAAAGACTTAAGCCCCTGAAGACTTGAAGCCCACTGAGATTTGAGGCTTGGATTGATCCATTCCCGAGTTTGTGTTCGTGGATGCGTGGAGGGCACACAGGGGAATAACCTCTACGACTCTACATTTCTTCGGCAAGGCCACTCTTGAGTTGCACACATGGCCGGATGGAAGGGGCAAGGAAGGTGGGAGTAGGTTCTTTAAACGCTCAATGTAAATCAGCTTGCTTGACTCTAGCAGCAAACCAAACTCGAGGGACCAAAAACAAAATAAAGGGAACAATTTATAATATGTATTTACCATAAAAAAACGGCAGAATTAACGAAAAAGTTTACCGAATATAGCGACGATCACCCCTCGTCCATCAGCATGAGGGTGCGACTGCAGGAACCGCTGCGCGCCAATCTCCTCTTTCGGCATCAGCCCCGCCAGAAACGCGGCGACCGCCGCGCTGTCGCCGGATCCCGCCGCCGCCCCGCCTGCGCCGCCGGCCGTCACCGTCGCGCCGCCGTGCGCCGCCGACGCTGCTACCGCGACGCCCGCTGCTGATGCTCCAATCGCGACGTTCGCACCGCCAGCGGATTCCGCGGCGGCCAGTCCCCCCGCTGATAACGCGGACACGGAGGCGGAAGCGGCGGTAGCGGCGGAGGGCTGCGCGGCACCCGCTGCAGCTCCGTGCATCGCGGCCGAGTGCTCTTTATTAGTGGCTTTAATAGGCGGCGTGCTGTGCTTGATGGATCTCCCGCCGGATCTGGATTTGTGTGATCTGGCGGGATCAGCCTCGGAGCTGGACGGACGAATCTGAGACCGGGTTCGAGTCCGCGCTTCGGATATCAAATGCTGGGACTGGAGAGAGGTAAGTGACGGTGGCCTCAAAAACGGGCTCCGCTGTAGCGAATGTTGATGCGATCCGCGATTAGAGATATAAACGAAAGACGACAAAGATGCTAGATTGCGGCTTGACGAGGAAGAGGATTTAGGCGAAGACGAAGAAGACGACGCGGAGAAGGAAGTGAGGGGCACAGAGGTAGCAGCTTTGGATGCAACAAGGGCAGGAGGCGGCATGGTCAGACAACAATGGTGGTGACTCGAAAATGCAGAGCGCCAGCATTTCTATGCAGACTTGGGATAGGGCACCACGTGACGAAATCCACACCAAGTAGGAAAAGCTGTGGGAAAATATCACAGAGATTTTAGAGAGGTGAGTTGGTATGGGATTGGGAAGGGTGGTGGGGTCATGGTGTGCTGTCAGCAGTAGTGGTTCTGTGCTGGCAGGCTTTTTGCGAAACCACTGTTTCCTTGGCGAGAGTTGGCGAATTTTTGCGACTCGATATATAACCATACTCTACCGAACCAGCTACACTTTGGCATTTTATTCTGCCATATTCGGGTTAAATTCCTCACTGTCCATTAATGTTTTTTCCGTGATATTCTCAATCCCAATCACTTCCTATGTAAATATCATAAGTTTTTTAATGATTTTTTTTTATTCCATGGAGCTCTCTACTTGAATTCTCCCGCATATACATAATGTCAGAAAATAGAGAACCAGAGGTCATCAATGTTGAGGACCTGTTTGCATGGCCTCCATTTCCGCATACCTACCTGGTACCTCGAGCCCAGTTATTGTTCTAACTCCTCCACCAGGCCGTGCACACCACAAGGCGCGCTGATCATACATCGAGCTGGAAACAGCGAATGTGGAACGACGAAGGTTCGACGGTGGTAAACCTCCCGCAGCATGCGCATGCCTGTACGACGCGTGGCAGAGCAGGGTCAGCTGTTGCTTGATACGCACGGCGCGGGTGTTCGAGCACCGACCGCAGAGGCTGCTGCTGCTGCTGCTAGCTCGGGGAACGCTTCAACTCACGCAACATGGTTTTCCGCCCGCCAGGACTCTCCTTGTATTCGTATCGCGCTCCTGATCTCCTTCCTGGATCTTCTTCCTGCAGCTAGAATCCGTGGTTAGCAGGTGGCTGAGTCTTGTCGTCGCTGCCTGCCCTTCCTCGATCCAATCGCACGCTCTCTGATTTTCTGTCCGTGTAAGACCGCCTCGTCAGGAATTTCCGGGTCGTTGGTGTGACCGCTTTATTCTTTCTTCTCTAAGAGAAGGCAATTTATTCACATCGACTTTCAGGCTCGCTGATTTGCAGGTGTTCATTCTCCTGCGCTTATTCTCTTTTGGAGACACCATGGCTGGGTATGGACCTCTGCGTCTTTTGTGTCGCACAACTGCTGCATCCGCCAGCGCACATGCTGAACCCGGTTTTATTGCAACCCGCATCGCTGGCGTTGCTACGTGGAGGCAGATGACCACTCTCGGGACTCCGGTGAGAGCAAGCCGTGGGGAGGCTTGCGTTCCGTTGGCTGGAAGGTTTTGTCCACAATTTTCAAAATCTGCTAGTTCAAGAATTTTGTTAGTAGCTGTCAGTGACAGCGTTTGGCAAGTGTTGACATAAGCCCTGGTCGTTTCTTGGTGATCTCTGTGCGATTTGTGTCCAGGGAAGCAAGGAATCGATGAAAGAGGAGCTGAAGAATCGTGCATGGCCAGACAAAGGCACCACGATCCAGGAAGGAGCGGAAGACAAGGCCAAGGCTGCCAAGGAGGCAGGTTATGAGAGAGCATATGAAGACGCTTCTGATATCTACAAGGTGAGACTTGACATGTCCAGATCTTTATCTCAAAACCTTCATTTACCATGGTGATGATTTTGTGCGGGCATATGTTCACACTGCTTATTTTCTCCGGTTTGCTCCTGACATTTTTCCAGGCGGAAGGTGTGGGTGGGAAGGTGAAGCAGGCAGGGCATATGGTTGCGGATGCAGCAAAGGGTGTGGGTGAGATGGCATCTAAGGTGGCAGACATGGGCAAAGAAGGCATGGGTCGCGCTGCTGAAACTGCTAGGGGACTGGCGGGTGCGGCCCCTCCTAATGCAGAGGAGAGGAGGGAGAAGGTGGATGCTATGGGAAAGAGGACTGTTGAGGGTGTTGCAGATGCTGCTAAGTCTGCTGCTGAAGTGGGCGGACAGAGGGGTGGCTCATGAGTTCTAATGTGATGGACAAAAGCGGGGCGGTTTTTTACATTCTGTGGCTCAGTTCTGTGTACATTTTTTTGCTGAATGGAGCATCATTTGTCAACACCGGTTCCAACTTTGGTACCATTGAATAGCTGTATATCTGTAACTGAAAGGCTGCTGGACTATATGGCGAACAATGCTGTTTCAGAATAAGCCACTTGTCGTGAATCGCGACCTCAGTGTGTCTCCCCCTGACAAGCACCCTGGATGTGGGTGTGGCACCTGGGAGTTCTGCTGTGCTGAAAGTTGAAGACAGGAAGATGAGGATGGATTGAGGAATTCTCACGACAACCGTTCAACCCAGAACTGGTCGGGGGGGGGGGGGGGGGGGCTAGGCTAACTCTACATTTTGAGTTCCACTTTGTTCCAGAACTTTGGTTGGTCCATATCCGGGCAGATATGTACAAGACAGTACGTATCTGTTGCTGACATAAGTGAAGCACCATTTTCTCCCTCAACAGAAGGGTCCAGCCCCTTCCAATTACAAGCCAGCCACTCTGCACGCAGGACATGGCGTTGCTGTTGCGAGCTCATGTCAGTTTCTTTCGATGTGGCTCCATTGTTGTCGCATTCACCAACTCCTCCTGTCCCCTCCCTACCCTGTTTTGGGCTTGCACACAGTGTAGCGGCTGGGCTGTCTTCTCATTGCATTGATCCACCTCGCCGCGCGTCCGCCCACCTAGGCTGATGATACGCTTTGCCTGTATGAGAAAACCTCCTCTTACAACCTAGTTAGCCTAGCGACCAAAAAGTGTTGCCTTTTCCACTTCTTTCACCGCCATTCCCTGCAAGGACCCATTTCCTCGTCCTCGTCTCTCAATCTGAGATTTACATATGATAAGAGAATTCCCACAGTAGCCGTTCCTTGCAATCAATCGCGGCGGTTCCGACTAGGTGGCTTTGTGGGCGCTACCACTAGGAAGATATATGCGCAGAAATGACAGACCTCGTGCTAGTGCTTGGAATTTCAAGATCCAGTCGCATTTGTCGCAAGGTTGTTGGAGGTGCGTAAGCTTGCCAGGAAAAAACCGTTGTTGCTATTGTTTTGAAGATTCGCGAGAAAGGAACGACATACTACTGAGCGTTAACCATAGATCTACCTGTCATCCGCATAGTCGCAAGGTCGCAGGGCCGCATAGTCGCAGAGTCGCAGAGCATAGTCGCAGACCCGCGGAGCAACCCGCAGCCTGGTGTTTTTCAGGAATTTCCAGTGTTGGCTGGAGCTGAAATTACACTGATAGCTCCCGTCTGCACCGCAGCACGACCTCTCGCATCGCAGCCATGGCAGCTGTCGCAGAGCCGCATAGTCGCAGCAGCAGCAACAGGTCCGAAAGAAGCAGGATCCAGAGAGTCTCGTCAGTAGAACACGCAGCCCAAGCAACGATTTGTCGTGCGACCAGTGGCAAGTCTTCCTATCTTCCCCGCGAACCCCGCCTCAATTCCCACTCGCGATACTCCCGGAAACCCAAGACCAGACTCGTCGCGTCGCTGTCGCGCTCGTCGCTGCCGTATCTCCCGCTCGTCCTGCTCCTGCTCGTGAGCTGTCTCGGCACCATGGCTCTGCGCGGAATGGCATGGGGGGACGTTCCGGATCCGTGCTGCAGCGGCCAGGCGGACGGTTTCCGTCGCCACCCCACTGACTGCAGGTGCGTCGTCGCTCGCCGTCGCTTGCTTGTGTCGCTCGCAGTCGCTTGTCCCGTCGCCTGCTTGTATCGCCCGCTGTCGCGTGTGTCGCTCGCCGTCGCTTGTTTGTATCGCTCGCGGTCGCATGTTGCGCTCGTCGTTCCTGTTGAAAACTAGTTCACTGGAATCAACCCTGGTCCTTCGGAAGGAGTCGACTAGCAAAACCGCACCTTACGTGCTTACGTGCTGACCCCACCACCCATCCCGCTCACCTCCCTGCCGTCTCACGTGCTTCCGTACCCGTTATGAACCACTCTCCATCGTCCGTCTCCCCGCGTCCCGCAGGCGATTCTGCCTGTGCAGCAGCGGCGATTCTCGCGGGCGCGTCTTCTACTGCCCCGAGGGCTATGTCTTCGACGACCGCACCTCCACGTGCGCAAGTACCCACGACGTCGCATGCCCCGGCGCTTCCGTTCCGGCGTCCGGCGCTACTGGCGGCGGTGCATCCGGCGGTGCATCCGGCGGTGCTTCCGGCGGTGCATCCGGTGGTGCTTCCGGCGGTGCATCCGGCGACGCTTCGGGCGGTGCGTCCGGCGGTGTTGGCGAGGAGGCGTCGCTGTGCGCGGGGTTGGAGGACGGCCCTCACCAGCACCCCAACGACTGCAGGTAAGCTCCGCGGGGAACATCAACAGGGAGGCCCATGGGGGAGCATTAGGTGAAAACCTCGGAAGCCGCTCTTTTCTTATCTCCTTCCTCTCTCTCCCCCATGCGCCTTCGCCCTCAAATCTCCGTCCGCGCCCCCCTCGCCCTTCTCTCTCCGCATCTCTCCCCGCTCCTCTTGCGCGCCTCCCCCGCGCCTCTCCGCGCGCATCTCTCGCGCAGCCAGTTCATCTTCTGTCTCAACGGGCGCGTGAAGAGCACCGTGAGTTGCGGCGCGCGCATGCGCTTCAGCGACGACTCCAAGACGTGCGAGTACTCCTTCCTCGTCGACTGCCCCGCCGCCGACAACGCCGCCGTTGCCACGTCGGATTCCACGTCAGCGGCCGCGTGGGGAGCGACCACCGGTTCCTCCCTTCCCGCTGCATCCGTCGCCACGTCATTCGAAGACTCTGGTCGTGGCGGTGCCTATTCGTCTTCCTCTTCCTCCTCCTCACAATCGTCGTCGAATCTGTTCACTGCTGCAGCGGCCCTGGGGGCTGCAAGCGGTGGTCCTTCGGTCTTTGCCCCGGGGCGAAGCAAGGTTCCTGGCAATGCGAACGGGATTAGTAATGGCAATGGCAACGGAGAAAGCAACGGGGTTGGCAACGGGAATGGAGTAAGCAACAGCAATGGGAATGGGAATGGCAACGGGAATGGGGTGGGAAATGGCAACATCTTGGGCGACAGTGGCAGCACAGGCAGCACAGGCAGTGTAGGCAGTTCGGGCAGTTCGGGCAGTACGTTCTTTTGGGTCAATCCGGGCAGCTCGGTCAGCAAGGGCAACGTGGGTACTGGGGGCAGCACGGGCAGTACGGGCAGCAGCAGCGGGGGTAGCGTGAGTGCGCCTGTGACCTGCTGTACCAAGAAGCCCAATGGGTACTGGCAAGACCCAACCAACTGCAGGTGCGTGTGTTTGTGTGCCTAGCATCCCCATTCCCTATGTTCACGCATATCGACACACTTGCTTCTCTCTCCCTCTCCTTCCGTCCTTTCCCTCCCACCCCCCCTCCCCCCCCTCTCCCTCCTTCCCTCCCTCTTTCTTTTGTTTCTTCGCCTCCTCAAACCCCGAGTATGTATCGCATGCATTGCTTAGATATCCTCATCTTTCCTCCTATTTTTTTGTCTCTCTCTGACTCACTCTCCCTCTTTTCCCATCCCATCCACCCCACCCAACCCCGCCCCATCCCACCCCACCCCACGCCACCGCACCCCACCGCACTCCACTGCACTCCACACAGCGCCTTCTGCATCTGTATGCGCGGCCAGGTGGTGGCGAAACTGCAGTGCCAGTCCCCCCTTCTCTTCAACGACAATGCCAAGGTCTGCGACGTCCCGGAAAACGTCCCCTGTGCTGCCACCGGTGGGGGTGGTGATGGGAGTGGCGGCGGCCCTACCCCCTCTCCTCCTACTTCTCCTCCCCCTCCTTCCACGCCCTCTCCCTCTCCTCCTCCTCCTTCCTCTCCACCTGTCTCTCCCTCTCCCCCTTCCACCTCTCCCTCGCCCCCTTCCTCTCCCTCCCCGCCTCCACCCTCCCCTCCCACTCCCCCTCCCGGGTCGTGCTGCGACAGTCGACCAGACGGATACTTCCAGGACGCTTCCGACTGCAGCCGCTACTGCATCTGCGCGGGGGGCAAGCAGGCGGCGTTGCAGCGGTGCCCAGCAGGGCTTATCTTTAATAACGACGCCAAGGTGTGCGACGGCGCGTACAACACCACGTGCAACGGCATGACCATCGGCGGGCCGGACGTGGGTAAGTTGCGCAATGAGAGGATGTGAGGGAAAGGGGTGGGAGAGATAGAGATATGAAGGAAAGGGAAAGGGGGGGGGGGGGGGGGGGGGGAGAGAAGGGGGGAAAGGGGTTCTTTGGGATGCAGCCCTTGGCCCACTCCCAATTATCCCAAACACCCACCAACCGTCCTCTGCTCCTCCTCTCTTCTCCCGCCCCCCATACTCCAGAGGACAAGGTGGGCGGCACACAGCCGTTCGCAGCGGACCGAACGCCCTCGCGCCTCAACCGCTACTCGAGCTACTCCTCCCTCTCCACCGCGCTCCCCACCTTTGTCGACTGGCGAGCCTCCGGCGTGCTCTCTCCCGTGCGCGACCAGGGCGTGTGCGGGGTCTGCTGGGCCTTCGCCACTACCGCGGCCGTAGAAGCGGCTGTTTCGATTTCCATGGCGAATTCGCGGCTGTTTGCGGGGAGGTTCCGCGGTGGCAAGTCGCGGTTCTCCGTGCAGCAGGTGGCGGATTGCACGCAAACTTCAGCTGCTGCGGCGTCGATCGGCGGGTTTAGCTACAACAACGCTGCTGCTGCTGGTAGTGCTGCCGCGGCAACCACCACCGCAGACACCACCACAGGCATAGGCACCACCACTGCTGGTGATACCACTGCTTCAGGTGCTGCTTCAGGTGCCGATACTACCTCCACCGATACAACCTCTGCAGTCAACGGTGCAGATTCTACGCCACCCGCAGATCCAACGGTCGGTACAGGCTCCGACGCTCTAGACAATCTGCTCTCGATCTGCCGGCCCGGGTGGCCAGGGGACGCTCTTGAGTATGTGGCAGCAGTGGGGAGGCTGCAACTGGACAGGCAGTACCCGTTCCTGGGCGAGAATGGCACTGGCCAGTGCTCTGCTGCTGGTCCTGCTGCTCCTTCTGGCGTTGCTGGTGGTGCTTCTCCTGGTGTTGCTGCTAGCGGTGCTGCTGCTGGTGCTCCTGGGGTCGCGCCTGGTGGTGCTGTTACTGCTGCTGGAGCATGGGCAGCATGGGTAAGTGAAATCCGTGGTGGGGGTCTTGGAGGGTGGGAAGGGGTGGGAGGGAGGGGGTGGGAGGGAGTGGGAGGGGGTGGGAGGGAGTGGGAGGGAGCAGGGGTGGGAGGGGGTGGGAGGGTGGGAGGGGGCGGGAGGGTGGGAGGGGGTGGCAGGTGGTGGGACTTCTGAATCTTGTTGCCTTATTTCTGAGGCGCCTGAAAAGCAGAGGTACTTGGGGATGGAAACACCCCTGGTGGTGCAGTGCGGTACAAACAAGATGGACCCATGCCGTGGGAGCAAGTTTCGAGCTGACATAAAAGTCAGTCAGCCATTCGCCCCCTTGTGGAGTTTCTACTCCTCCGCATGCACGCGCCCTTGTGATGAGATGAGTCGCCTCAAAACTAGACGATCTCATCTACCGGTCCGCACCCTTGTGATACATCAGACCTTGTTGGTGCCTCTGCTGCACCCATATGACATGCTCTTGTGACTGTGACTTCCTTTTTTTGTTACCCTCGTGCATGCCCGTGTGACTTTCCCTTGTGATTACCCTTGAATGCCCTTGAATGCCCTTGAATGCCCTTGCATACCTTTCAACAGCAAACGCCTGTGGTGGTGCAGCACGAAACGGTGCCGCCAAGTTTAGTTTTGAGGCGCCTCAAAACTAAACGCCTGTGGTGGTGCAGCACGAAACGGTGCCGCCAAGTTTAGTTTTGAGGCGCCTCAAAACTAAACGCCTGTGGTGGTGCAGCACGAAACGGTGCCGCCAAGTTTAGTTTTGAGGCGCCTCAAAACTAAACGCCTGTGGTGGTGCAGCACGAAACGGTGCCGCCAAGTTTAGTTTTGAGGCGCCTCAAAACTAAACGCCTGTGGTGGTGCAGCACGAAACGGTGCCGCCAAGTTTAGTTTTGAGGCGCCTCAAAACTAAACGCCTGTGGTGGTGCAGCACGAAACGGTGCCGCCAAGTTTAGTTTTGAGGCGCCTCAAAACTAAACGCCTGTGGTGGTGCAGCACGAAACGGTGCCGCCAAGTTTAGTTTTGAGGCGCCTCAAAACTAAACGCCTGTGGTGGTGCAGCACGAAACGGTGCCGCCAAGTTTAGTTTTGAGGCGCCTCAAAACTAAACGCCTGTGGTGGTGCAGCACGAAACGGTGCCGCCAAGTTTAGTTTTGAGGCGCCTCAAAACTAAACGCCTGTGGTGGTGCAGCACGAAACGGTGCCGCCAAGTTTAGTTTTGAGGCGCCTCAAAACTAAACGCCTGTGGTGGTGCAGCACGAAACGGTGCCGCCAAGTTTAGTTTTGAGGCGCCTCAAAACTAAACGCCTGTGGTGGTGCAGCACGAAACGGTGCCGCCAAGTTTAGTTTTGAGGCGCCTCAAAACTAAACGCCTGTGGTGGTGCAGCACGAAACGGAGCCGCCAAGTTTAGTTTTGAGGCGCCTCAAAACTAAACGCCTGTGGTGGTGCAGCACGAAACGGTGCCGCCAAGTTTAGTTTTGAGGCGCCTCAAAACTAAACGCCTGTGGTGGTGCAGCACAAAACGGTGCCCCGCCAAGTTTAGTTTTGAGGCGCCTCAAAACTAAACGCCTGTGGTGGTGCAGCACGAAACGGTGCCGCCAAGTTTAGTTTTGAGGCGCCTCAAAACTAAACGCCTGTGGTGGTGCAGCACGAAACGGTGCCGCCAAGTTTAGTTTTGAGGCGCCTCAAAACTAAACGCCTGTGGTGGTGCAGCACGAAACGGTGCCGCCAAGTTTAGTTTTGAGGCGCCTCAAAACTAAACGCCTGTGGTGGTGCAGCACGAAACGGTGCCGCCAAGTTTAGTTTTGAGGCGCCTCAAAACTAAACGCCTGTGGTGGTGCAGCACGAAACGGTGCCGCCAAGTTTAGTTTTGAGGCGCCTCAAAACTAAACGCCTGTGGTGGTGCAGCACGAAACGGTGCCGCCAAGTTTAGTTTTGAGGCGCCTCAAAACTAAACGCCTGTGGTGGTGCAGCACGAAACGGTGCCGCCAAGTTTAGTTTTGAGGCGCCTCAAAACTAAACGCCTGTGGTGGTGCAGCACGAAACGGTGCCGCCAAGTTTAGTTTTGAGGCGCCTCAAAACTAAACGCCTGTGGTGGTGCAGCACGAAACGGTGCCGCCAAGTTTAGTTTTGAGGCGCCTCAAAACTAAACGCCTGTGGTGGTGCAGCACGAAACGGTGCCGCCAAGTTTAGTTTTGAGGCGCCTCAAAACTAAACGCCTGTGGTGGTGCAGCACGAAACGGTGCCGCCAAGTTTAGTTTTGAGGCGCCTCAAAACTAAACGCCTGTGGTGGTGCAGCACGAAACGGTGCCGCCAAGTTTAGTTTTGAGGCGCCTCAAAACTAAACGCCTGTGGTGGTGCAGCACGAAACGGTGCCGCCAAGTTTAGTTTTGAGGCGCCTCAAAACTAAACGCCTGTGGTGGTGCAGCACGAAACGGTGCCGCCAAGTTTAGTTTTGAGGCGCCTCAAAACTAAACGCCTGTGGTGGTGCAGCACGAAACGGTGCCGCCAAGTTTAGTTTTGAGGCGCCTCAAAACTAAACGCCTGTGGTGGTGCAGCACGAAACGGTGCCGCCAAGTTTAGTTTTGAGGCGCCTCAAAACTAAACGCCTGTGGTGGTGCAGCACGAAACGGTGCCGCCAAGTTTAGTTTTGAGGCGCCTCAAAACTAAACGCCTGTGGTGGTGCAGCACGAAACGGTGCCGCCAAGTTTAGTTTTGAGGCGCCTCAAAACTAAACGCCTGTGGTGGTGCAGCACGAAACGGTGCCGCCAAGTTTAGTTTTGAGGCGCCTCAAAACTAAACGCCTGTGGTGGTGCAGCACGAAACGGTGCCGCCAAGTTTAGTTTTGAGGCGCCTCAAAACTAAACGCCTGTGGTGGTGCAGCACGAAACGGTGCCGCCAAGTTTAGTTTTGAGGCGCCTCAAAACTAAACGCCTGTGGTGGTGCAGCACGAAACGGTGCCGCCAAGTTTAGTTTTGAGGCGCCTCAAAACTAAACGCCTGTGGTGGTGCAGCACGAAACGGTGCCGCCAAGTTTAGTTTTGAGGCGCCTCAAAACTAAACGCCTGTGGTGGTGCAGCACGAAACGGTGCCGCCAAGTTTAGTTTTGAGGCGCCTCAAAACTAAACGCCTGTGGTGGTGCAGCACGAAACGGTGCCGCCAAGTTTAGTTTTGAGGCGCCTCAAAACTAAACGCCTGTGGTGGTGCAGCACGAAACGGTGCCGCCAAGTTTAGTTTTGAGGCGCCTCAAAACTAAACGCCTGTGGTGGTGCAGCACGAAACGGTGCCGCCAAGTTTAGTTTTGAGGCGCCTCAAAACTAAACGCCTGTGGTGGTGCAGCACGAAACGGTGCCGCCAAGTTTAGTTTTGAGGCGCCTCAAAACTAAACGCCTGTGGTGGTGCAGCACGAAACGGTGCCGCCAAGTTTAGTTTTGAGGCGCCTCAAAACTAAACGCCTGTGGTGGTGCAGCACGAAACGGTGCCGCCAAGTTTAGTTTTGAGGCGCCTCAAAACTAAACGCCTGTGGTGGTGCAGCACGAAACGGTGCCGCCAAGTTCAGTTTTGAGGCGCCTCAAAACTAAACGCCTGTGGTGGTGCAGCACGAAACGGTGCCGCCAAGTTTAGTTTTGAGGCGCCTCAAAACTAAACGCCTGTGGTGGTGCAGCACGAAACGGTGCCGCCAAGTTCAGTTTTGAGGCGCCTCAAAACTAAACGCCTGTGGTGGTGCAGCACGAAACGGTGCCGCCAAGTTTAGTTTTGAGGCGCCTCAAAACTAAACGCCTGTGGTGGTGCAGCACGAAACGGTGCCGCCAAGTTTAGTTTTGAGGCGCCTCAAAACTAAACGCCTGTGGTGGTGCAGCACGAAACGGTGCCGCCAAGTTTAGTTTTGAGGCGCCTCAAAACTAAACGCCTGTGGTGGTGCAGCACGAAACGGTGCCGCCAAGTTTAGTTTTGAGGCGCCTCAAAACTAAACGCCTGTGGTGGTGCAGCACGAAACGGTGCCGCCAAGTTTAGTTTTGAGGCGCCTCAAAACTAAACGCCTGTGGTGGTGCAGCACGAAACGGTGCCGCCAAGTTTAGTTTTGAGGCGCCTCAAAACTAAACGCCTGTGGTGGTGCAGCACGAAACGGTGCCGCCAAGTTTAGTTTTGAGGCGCCTCAAAACTAAACGCCTGTGGTGGTGCAGCACGAAACGGTGCCGCCAAGTTTAGTTTTGAGGCGCCTCAAAACTAAACGCCTGTGGTGGTGCAGCACGAAACGGTGCCGCCAAGTTTAGTTTTGAGGCGCCTCAAAACTAAACGCCTGTGGTGGTGCAGCACGAAACGGTGCCGCCAAGTTTAGTTTTGAGGCGCCTCAAAACTAAACGCCTGTGGTGGTGCAGCACGAAACGGTGCCGCCAAGTTTAGTTTTGAGGCGCCTCAAAACTAAACGCCTGTGGTGGTGCAGCACGAAACGGTGCCGCCAAGTTTAGTTTTGAGGCGCCTCAAAACTAAACGCCTGTGGTGGTGCAGCACGAAACGGTGCCGCCAAGTTTAGTTTTGAGGCGCCTCAAAACTAAACGCCTGTGGTGGTGCAGCACGAAACGGTGCCGCCAAGTTTAGTTTTGAGGCGCCTCAAAACTAAACGCCTGTGGTGGTGCAGCACGAAACGGTGCCGCCAAGTTTAGTTTTGAGGCGCCTCAAAACTAAACGCCTGTGGTGGTGCAGCACGAAACGGTGCCGCCAAGTTTAGTTTTGAGGCGCCTCAAAACTAAACGCCTGTGGTGGTGCAGCACGAAACGGTGCCGCCAAGTTTAGTTTTGAGGCGCCTCAAAACTAAACGCCTGTGGTGGTGCAGCACGAAACGGTGCCGCCAAGTTTAGTTTTGAGGCGCCTCAAAACTAAACGCCTGTGGTGGTGCAGCACGAAACGGTGCCGCCAAGTTTAGTTTTGAGGCGCCTCAAAACTAAACGCCTGTGGTGGTGCAGCACGAAACGGTGCCGCCAAGTTTAGTTTTGAGGCGCCTCAAAACTAAACGCCTGTGGTGGTGCAGCACGAAACGGTGCCGCCAAGTTTAGTTTTGAGGCGCCTCAAAACTAAACGCCTGTGGTGGTGCAGCACGAAACGGTGCCGCCAAGTTTAGTTTTGAGGCGCCTCAAAACTAAACGCCTCTGGTGGTGCAGCACGAAACGGTGCCGCCAAGTTTAGTTTTGAGGCGCCTCAAAACTAAACGCCTCTGGTGGTGCAGCACGAAACGGTGCCGCCAAGTTTAGTTTTGAGGCGCCTCAAAACTAAACGCCTCTGGTGGTGCAGCACGAAACGGTGCCGCCAAGTTTAGTTTTGAGGCGCCTCAAAACTAAACGCCTGTGGTGGTGCAGCACGAAACGGTGCCGCCAAGTTTAGTTTTGAGGCGCCTCAAAACTAAACGCCTGTGGTGGTGCAGCACGAAACGGTGCCGCCAAGTTTAGTTTTGAGGCGCCTCAAAACTAAACGCCTGTGGTGGTGCAGCACGAAACGGTGCCGCCAAGTTTAGTTTTGAGGCGCCTCAAAACTAAACGCCTGTGGTGGTGCAGCACGAAACGGTGCCGCCAAGTTTAGTTTTGAGGCGCCTCAAAACTAAACGCCTGTGGTGGTGCAGCACGAAACGGTGCCGCCAAGTTTAGTTTTGAGGCGCCTCAAAACTAAACGCCTGTGGTGGTGCAGCACGAAACGGTGCCGCCAAGTTTAGTTTTGAGGCGCCTCAAAACTAAACGCCTGTGGTGGTGCAGCACGAAACGGTGCCGCCAAGTTTAGTTTTGAGGCGCCTCAAAACTAAACGCCTGTGGTGGTGCAGCACGAAACGGTGCCGCCAAGTTTAGTTTTGAGGCGCCTCAAAACTAAACGCCTGTGGTGGTGCAGCACGAAACGGTGCCGCCAAGTTTAGTTTTGAGGCGCCTCAAAACTAAACGCCTGTGGTGGTGCAGCACGAAACGGTGCCGCCAAGTTTAGTTTTGAGGCGCCTCAAAACTAAACGCCTCTGGTGGTGCAGCACGAAACGGTGCCGCCAAGTTTAGTTTTGAGGCGCCTCAAAACTAAACGCCTCTGGTGGTGCAGCACGAAACGGTGCCGCCAAGTTTAGTTTTGAGGCGCCTCAAAACTAAACGCCCGTGGTGGTGCAGCACGAAACGGTGCCGCCAAGTTTAGTTTTGAGGCGCCTCAAAACTAAACGCCTGTGGTGGTGCAGCACGAAACGGTGCCGCCAAGTTTAGTTTTGAGGCGCCTCAAAACTAAACGCCTGTGGTGGTGCAGCACGAAACGGTGCCGCCAAGTTTAGTTTTGAGGCGCCTCAAAACTAAACGCCTGTGGTGGTGCAGCACGAAACGGTGCCGCCAAGTTTAGTTTTGAGGCGCCTCAAAACTAAACGCCTGTGGTGGTGCAGCACGAAACGGTGCCGCCAAGTTTAGTTTTGAGGCGCCTCAAAACTAAACGCCTGTGGTGGTGCAGCACGAAACGGTGCCGCCAAGTTTAGTTTTGAGGCGCCTCAAAACTAAACGCCTGTGGTGGTGCAGCACGAAACGGTGCCGCCAAGTTTAGTTTTGAGGCGCCTCAAAACTAAACGCCTGTGGTGGTGCAGCACGAAACGGTGCCGCCAAGTTTAGTTTTGAGGCGCCTCAAAACTAAACGCCTGTGGTGGTGCAGCACGAAACGGTGCCGCCAAGTCAAGCGAAGACGCGCTGATTTCAGCCATGGCATTCCATTCCAACCCGTCCTGTGCCAATGCACATATCCATCAACCCTCCTACTTACAATCCTCCTTGTGAATTCTCTGTGTCTCCGTGTCACAACACAACAGCAACCGCCTTCCGTGGTGCGATATGAGATGGTGCCGGCAAGTGAAGAGGCGCTGCTGTCAGCAGTGGCGGCGCAACCGGTGATCGTGAACATCCAGTCGCGCGTCCCCTCCTTCCTCTCCTATGCCGGGGTGCGTTGCGTTGCACGTCTTTGCATCTAGTTTTGATGCGCCTCACGCCACATCTAGCCTAGTTTGCGCATGCCTTCTTCACCGGTGATCGTGAACATCCAGTCGCGCGTCCCCTCCTTCCTCTCCTATGCCGGGGTGCGTTGCGTTGCACGTCTTTGCATCTAGTTTTGATACGCCTCACGCCACATCTAGCCTAGTTTGTGCATGCCTTCTTCACCGGTGATCGTGAACATCCAGTCGCGCGTCCCCTCCTTCCTCTCCTATGCCGGGGTGCGTTGCGTTGCACGTCTTGACATCTAGTTTTGATGCGCCGGAGTTAGAAGGCGGCGGCGGCTGTTAGAAGGGGCTGTAAGAAGGGGCTGTTTTGATCACTCAGGTCTCTGGCACACCCTTCTTTCAGCACACTCTTACCATCTCCTGCTGGCCCGCCCACCCACCCCTTCTTCCTCTCTCCTTTCCCACCTCACAGGGCGTTTACGCCGACCCTCTATGCGACAACGGGCTGTTAGACCACTCCGTGCTGGTGGTGGGGTTCGGCACAGACCAGGCCTCTGGCACGCCCTACTGGATCATACGCAACAGCTGGGGGGACGCATGGGGAGAGCAGGGGTATCTGCGCATGGCTCGAGTGGGCGGGAGGGGTACCTGCGGTATCACCAGCATGCCTGGTTTCTACCCTGTTACCACCAGTGAGTTGCTGCTGCTGCTCGCCCTGTGCCCTTTTCTTTGTTACTGCCCGTGGGTTTCTACCCTACTATCGGCAGCATTTTCCTTCTTCTTTTTTTGCATGAAAAGCAGCGTATCTAGCTGGTGAGCATCAGAAGTGATGAAACATGTCCAACATGTATTACAAGCTGGGCTGCGGACTTTTGTTTGCTCGCCAAGGACTTTTGCATTCCCTTCCTCATGCTCTCTTGCTCATCCTCCCCCTTCCTCCCCCATCCCCTCCATCCCCCCCATGCATCCTCCACCCCAGGCACATCGCCGTGTGACAATCCCAACCCATGTGGGGCTGGCGAGTGTGTGGAGGACGTGAGGAGGAAGAGCAGGGGCGGCTACCGCTGCGCGAGCTGCCCTGATGGCTACGCGGTCGTGGAGAATTCGGACAAGTCGCAGACATGCGTGTCAGGTACGTTTCTGCCCTGCAGCACATGGCTTTTCTTTCTTTCTTCCTTCCTTCCTTCCCTCCTTCCTTCCCTCCTTCCTTCCCTCCTTCCCTCCTTCCTTCCCTCCTTCCTTCCTTCCTTGGTTCCTTCCTTCCTTCCTTCCTTCCTTCCTTCCTTCCATCCTTCCTTCCTTCCTTCCTTCCTTCCTTCCTTCCTTCCTTCCTTCCTTCCTTCCTTCCTTCCTTCCTTCCTTCCTTCCTTCCTTCCTTCCTTCCTTCCTTCCTTCCTCCCTCCCTCCCACTCCCACCCACACCAGTTGACGCCTTCTTCTCATCCACCCTCAAAATGTTCAGTGTGGGAGAGTGCGTTCCCCTCATTTCCCACTCATCCCATTCCTCCCTTCCCACTCCTGCTCCCACTACCACCACACCAGTTGACGCCTGTTTCTCGTCCACCCTCAACCCATGCGATGTGGGGGAGAGCACTAACGTGGGAGACATGAGTTCTAAGTCACCCAAAAAGCTCGATCTTTCCTTTCACTCCACTCCTCTCACTCCCACCCCTCCCACCCCTCCCACCCACCCACCACTACCACCACACCAGTTGACGCCTGTTTCTCGTCCACCTTCAACCCGTGCGGGGTGGGAGAGTGCACCAACGTGGGAGACGGCACATACTCGTGCGACTGCACGGAAGACACATGGCCCGTTGTCCGTCCCGATGGCTCCCCCACATGCACCATGGGTACGCCACATACATTCCTCTTATGAGGTGCTTTTGAGATTTATACCAAGTGAAACCTTTGAGACGTCTCAAAACCCGATGCATCCCCCAGATGTACCCAGATGCATCATCTGTACCCCGCATTTCTTCAATCTTACCCCGGTTGAAACCCCTCCTTACACTCATGACTTGAGTCCACTAAAAGGATTTCTCGTGCCTCGTTATGTCTCCGAAGCATGCAGTAACTGTACGGTGCTCTGGTTATTCCTGTTGAACCTTCCCTCCCAATATTCCCCTTCTCCCTTTCCCCTCCTTCGCCTCCCCGCTTTCCCTCCCTGGTCATATTACCCTGGTCATTACACCCACTTCCAGATTACCGATCACTATATGCCTGATGTAAATCTCCCGTACTCTCCAACCTTTCAAACCCTCCCCTGCTCCCCCTTCCCTTCTCTCCCTTCCTCCTTCCCCTAACATTGTATCCCGTCCCACATCTCCATCTTCCCCTCCCCACAGGCCGAGCCTCCGCCTTCTGCCCGTCCCTCTTCACCACCTTTGCCAACGACACATGCGAATCCGTCGCCGCCTTTGCCCGAATGTCTGTAGACGATCTTCTAGAAGTCAACCCCGGGCTTATCTGCGACAATCTCAAGGGAGGCCAGCAGCTGTGCATCAGCATGAATCTACCCTGGGCCGCCCGGTGCCTGTATGGAAAGTACACGGTTGTGCGCGGTGACACGTGCGCAGCTATTATCTGGAAGAAGTATCGGCGGTCTACGCAGCTGTATGCTTCTATGAACGGCGGCCCGTGCGTTAACTCGAGGCTTTATGTGGGGATGGTGCTCTGCCTGCCCAGATGAGGTTTAAAGGAGGAGATGGGGGGTTATGCAGATGGACGTTAGAAGGGACGGGACAATGGTTGGGTGTTATGTTTATAAGGGTTTTGATATGCTGGCAGTTTGAAACAGTAGATATTTGTTTGTTCCGCATTCAACCTGCTAGCATGGGGCTAGCTTCCATTTAGAACAGTAGAGGGCAAGACCAGTGTATCGGGTCAGGGGGGGTGTGGAATCGGTGCCATATCTTGCTTGCTTGTATGTATTATTGTGACATCAACTTGTGTACTTATCTGGTTGCTCGAACCTCGCAAAAGTGTTGTAGATTTAACAGATCCTACCACTACAGCATACTCTCCCCCCTTTCCCTCCCTCCCCCACCACCCCTCTTCCCCCCATCCAGCACTGCTGCGCATTTGTTCTTAGTGGGCAAAGCCGTCTTCTGTAGTAAACATGCTCTGGCGAAGACGACATTTGTCCCCTCCTCCGAGTAAAACAGAAGGACTTGAAAGCTGCACCACCACAAGAAAGTTTGTGTACACAAGAACGTTATCACCCCGACCAAGCACATCCACAAATTTTCAAGTTGCATCCACGCCCAATCTCTCCATTTGTCTCTAAGGACTGACCGTTTCAGGTCCGGGAAGCAATCGGTCAGGGGTCAAGAGAACTGTAAAAAACGGTTTGATTCGTTTTGGTACGATGATTTGAACTCAGCCAAACCAAGTCCTTCATGCCTTCCATTGCCCCAGCCTGGAGTGTATTATGGGGCTGCCACGGGCAGCGAAGGGGTTGGTTGGGAAAGGAGCGGAGGGGAAAGGGGGGGGAGGGTAAGGTGGACAAAATAGGACGGGTGGGCGGGGTGGTGGTGGCGGTGACATGTATGGGGTTCTGTTTTCACAGTGAATTATATCGTGAGGTGGAGGAGCGTTGACAGGATTCTGCACGGATTGTTCGAGGGCTTCGGAGATGTTTGGACGGGCAAGGGCAGTGAACACGTCGAAAATGCTGGAAGGATAACTACCCCGAGATGGTTAATTAGGGTGCATTCTTGGCCCATGTCGGTCTTGCTGACACAAGGTATCAACGATCACGATCATTTCACATCGTCACAACTGCTGACATATCCAAATCCAAGCCGTCGACTTCATGTCAAACAACTAGTCACAGACCAAGAGAATCGACCAAGTTGGACCAACCGAATTTCGACCAAACGTGAAACTTCATTGTACCTGTCATACATTGTTTTTGAAGGGTATTTAAATTTAAACTATTGCCTTCACCAAATCAGGGTTACTTTCTTATGCACTCGTCATGGTATTGGGGTAGCGTTTGTTGTCCAGAGAGCTACACGCTTCTTCACGAATGACGGTGTTGTTTCAGGGGGTTCCTTCATGTTACCCATCTTGCGGGCTGATCATCTTGACAAATATCGCTACACCTGGTGCTTCTTTCAATTCTACTTTCGACTGCACATTCCTCGTCATTCAGGAAACGGTTATGTGAGGGCAGAATTAGGGCTCGAAAGAGTATGGCGGTTACCACCGCACCTCCATTCTCTTCCTTTGTAGAAGTTTGTGTATTTCAATGGAAACAGGGTGAACTATTTCGCCTCAATGATAACGGTATTATGCTGTCAGGTTTTTTATGATAATGAAAGTATACATCGGAAGGCAAACATGTACTAACAAAACGATCGTTACCGTGCTTGAGGAGAAAGAAACGAGTTCTTGCTCTATCTAATAAATTTAGGGCCTGGTGGGTCGTGCCCTCCGATAAGGCCAGATCGCCGCAAAACGGTTCGTCCATTTCCAACTGTTGCCATCCAATTTGATCATCTGCAGCATGTTCCGCTCTTCTGAAACTCTCCGTTGTTTTTTCTTGAGCCACGTCGCACAGAATTTACGGGTGCCCAGCTTGGCGTGCTGCCGAAATGCGAACTCTATCTTCCTGATAACCGGTTGTGTCCAAAATCTTCTCTGCCGGAAGACAGCTTCGCATCGCTCGAGCCACAACTGGTGGAATGTGAATGTCGGGTTTAAACTGTGTGCCGTATCCGTGACTGGCACCCCTTGCTCTGTGTGATGTTTGAAGTAAACTATATTAGGTGATTAGGCGAGCAAAAGGGTGTATTTCTGTGTCAGGCATGGCTGGTTGTTCTCGGCGGCTGAACTGGGGTTGGGTATTTTGTTCTGTAGCATATTTCGCATCTCGACGATGGAAGAATTTCATCACCCTAATCACCCTACCAAACAAAATATTCCTACCGAAACTTGGTGGCCCACTGGCAGAACCCTGAACAGAAAAAAGTGGCCCAAAATGAAAGAGAGGCCTCAGCAGCAGCCCCAGACCGAACCGTTCTTTCCCAACCAGGCACCATTAGCACAAATTAGGGCAAGGCTGTGTTGATCGCAAGTCCTGACGTGAGATGTGGCTCTAGCGAGATGGCAACGCTCACGTGGTCGTCTGTGTGACGTGAACTTGGTTTTCTTTTCATCGTCGCCCACTAGAAAGCACGAGTCTGAGGAAAGACCTAGAATCGAGCCAAAGGTCTGCTGCAGAGATTCTCAGGAATGCGAGAATTGGGCATAAGAGCAGCACAACCGTCACAAGGAGAAAGAGCGGGGGGTTTTGTGGATTAATACTAAGTGCCGAGCCACATGGACGATAATGTGAATGGGTGAATGACGTCGGATCCCGTTTCGATAGGTGTAAACGTAGAACACGAAGGCGGAACGACCCGAAGCGAAACGAACGACGACGGTGACGAAACGACAGTAAAAGGAGGCGCGCATAACTCCGCGGGGAAAACGGATAACACAGGGGCGGAACGGGTCGACGGGGCGAGTCGGGAAGGCGAGGCGCGCGACGACAACGGGCGCGCGGGATTTGTGGCAATGGTGAGGGGAGATGATCTAGCACCTGGCGTAGGTGCCGAACTGTTAGCATCAGCCGCTTCGCAGGCACCCGTGACTGATAGTGCAGCGGGGAACGGGACGATAGAAGCTCCCGAGTCCGCTGCAACAGCCCCTCCTGTTGTCGAAACGACGCCAATAGCGCGTACGTCGTCTCCAGCAACCCTGTCAGCATCGAAAGAAGATTCGGCTGCAACTGCTAATTCTTCCTCCTCCTCCGCCGCCGCCGCCGCCGCCGTCGCTGCTGCTGCTGCGCCATCAAACCCCTTCTTAACAGCATCACCTTCTCCATCGTCCCCGTCATCATCCACGTCAGCGTCCGCCTCACCTTCCCCCTCCCCTTCCCATTCCCCCATACCTTCGCCGTCCGCCCGCGCCGCCGCATGGATGCCCCGCTCCGCTTCCGCCGCGCCCATCGTCCACTCCACCCCCCCGCTTCCGCGCCCTCCCCCGCCCCATCCGCTTCAGCGGGAAGCTTTCGCGGAGCACCCGGCGGAGGATCCCGAGTCGCCCCCGCCGCCTCCGCCGCTTTACCCCTTCGGCGCGGCGCAAGCGCCGGGCGTGCTGACGTTCGTGTGCGAAACGCCACGTGGCTTCGCGGGGAGACAGGAGGTGAAGGGATGGGACGCGCAGGGGAACGTGCAGCTGGGGCGGTATATGTACTTCCCCAAAGAAACTCCGTGGCATTATGGGTATTTACCCCAAACCTGGTGCGCGCACGACCGAGGAGCTGCGCCCCACAGGCGCACCGGCGGGGGGGTGGGTGGGGGGAGCTACGGCGGAAGTTTCGGCGGAAGCGGAGACATTGGTTTAAGCGCTGGTGTGCTGTGGGGTGGGGCAGATCGGATGGCTGAAGGGGAGGGGTACGGTGGGGCTGGCGGCAGCGGCGGTGGAGGAGAGGTGGAGCGAGTCGCAATGATGCGACGGGGGTATAGCGTTGATGGTACTAATTATACTCTCTCAGACGCGCAGTCAGGCGAGCCGATACCGAGTCGCGGGAAAATCCCGAACCAGAACCAGAGAGAGAACCAGTATCAGCTGCAGCTTCAGCAATTCGGGGGGGTCCCTTCCCCGCGTTACCATCACCTGCCGCAGTCCCCGTCGCAGTCGCAGCATCTGTCGCAATCGCACTCGCAGCAGTCGCTGCCGCAGTCGCAGTCGCAGACGTCATCGCAGCAGTCGCAGCAGTCATCGTCGCAGGGCCCTGTGTCACCGCTCGCCGTCGGCTGCCCGCTGGAAGTTCTAGATATCGGCTCCGCGAAACGCAAAGTCGGGGAATCGTACCCGGTGCGCGTGCTCGCAGCGATTTGCGTGATGGAAGGGACACGTCAGCCGAAGCCGTCGTGGAAGATCGTGACGATCGCGGCCACGGATCCGATGGCTGATCTGATGACACGTGTCTCGGAAGTGAGCAAAGGCGGCGGGACGTTAGGGGATGTGCTGAGGGACGTGCATCGGGATCTCAAGGCTCTCGTGAACGCGAAAGCAGGTGCGTTATAACGGGGATGGATGGATGAGGTTGATGAGGTTACAAACGTACGAACGAAAAAAATTGGGATACGAATTCGGTATCGCTTGATTCGGGGCTGATAAATGAAAAAGGGAAACCAAAAAAAAAAATCAGAAGCGTAGTGAAAGAAGCATTTTTCCCTCGCCTCTTTTCCCCCTTCCGTGAGAGACTGGGGACGGGGGCTTTTGTAGATGTTAGCGGGACAGGGGCCGGAAAAGAGGGGACCTTGCATATGGTTTGCTACATGGTCGAGCTCGTCCTTATTGTTCCCTGCATTATTGTTGGATCAGTATAAGAGAAAGATAAGAACAGGACAGGACATAGAGTACACTAAGTTGCTGCCCTGGGAGGAGAATAGTGTAGCAGCCACTTTTCGTACTCTCATTCACACGTAAATCATGCACAATCAAAGAATGTATCAGTTCTTCTGTCGTCCATCCAGGTGAAAATAAAACAACAAGCAAACAAACAAACAAACTCCTTTCGATCTTCCCCTTCCCCATCCTCTTCGTCCCCCTCCCCACCTCCCCCTTTCCCCCCTCTCTCTCCCTATCCCCCCGCGTTCCATCTTTGAGTCGACTCACAAATACAACTCTCCTTCCCCCTCCTCTCTCCCCCTATCCCCCGCGTTCTGTTGTTTGTCTACTCAAAAATACACCTCCCCTTTCCCCCCCTCTCTCCCCCTATCCCCCCGCGTTCTCTTTGAGTCGATTAAATAATACACCTCCTCTTTCCCCCTCTCTCCCCCTATCCCCCCGCGTTTTCTTTGAGTCGATAGATAATTCACCACCTCTTTCCCCCGCTCTCTCTCCCTGTCCCCCCCGCATTCTGTCTTTGAGTATACTAAATATTACACCTCCTCTTTCCCCCCCTCTCTCCCCATTCCCCCCCGCATTGCCTTTGAGTCGACTAACTCATACACCTCCTCTTTCCCCTCTCTCTCCCCATATCTCCCCTCGTTCTGTCACATCCCCACAGACCTCCCGCGCTCACAGGAGCAAGCCATGGGGGTGGACGGAGCAACGAGCATAGTATCCCAAGCGCATGCCAAATGGACCGATTTCCTAGCCACACGCGAGCGCCTGCTCCAACACCAGTACTCCCTCTCTCTCTCCTCCCCTTCCGCCTCCGTGCCAAACCTCTCCCCCTCCGCCCTTCCCTCCCCTTCCGCCTCCTCCACTAGCTCTTACTCCGCCTTCTCCTCCTTCCGCTCCTCCTCTCTCTCGCTCCGCTCTCCCGCGTCTGTTCTGTTTCCGAGAAGCCAATCGGTAGTGACTGGGGGAGTGCCGACTGTAGGGGAAGGAGAAGAAGGGGAGAGGGGTAGTGCATATGGCACGGGAATTGGGGGAGGTTCCAGGGAGCAGCAGACCAAGCGCAGGCAGCAACAGCATCGGTTTATTGCTAGTGCGAGCACCAGCAGCAGCAGTGGCAGTGGCAGTGGTGGCAGCAGCAGCAGCAGTGCCGGAAGTCGCCTGGCTGAAGACTTGGCGTTTTCGGGACTAGATGCTGCTGCTGCTGCTGCTGCCGCCGCCGCTGCTGCTGCTGGTGCTGCCGCTGGTGGCAGTGGCAGTGGCGGCGGCCGCGACATGGCCAGTGCTGGCCGCAGCATCTCGCAAGGAGCAGCAACAGGCACAGGAGCAGGAGTAGGAGCAGGAGCAGGAGCCGGAGCAGGAGCAACGGGATCGGGATCGGTAACGGGAACGGGTTACGGGGTGGAATCAGCACAGGCAGAGGACATGCTTGATGCCTTTCCGCCTGGCATGCGCTTTGCTGCGCTCAGGAGCTTCAGTGGCCCTCTGGTTCCGCACTCTAAGAAACGCAGCAGCCAGCGCGGGGAAAAACGCGGAGCAGAAGCAGCGGCGGCTGCTGCTGCGGCTGCTGCGGCTGCAGCTGTGGAGTTGGACCAAGGCCCCTCCCTTGGTGCCACTGCTGCTGTGAACAGCAAAGGCGACAGCAGCAGTGGGAACGGGAGCGGCGGTGGCGGTGGTGGCGGGTCAAGACCAGGAGGGAGGATCACAGAGGAGGGTCATGGGAGATCGTGCAGTGTTGATGCCAGTGGTAGCTCTGCTGGTGGTGCTGCTGACCATGCTAGGATGCAGGGTGGTGCTTCTTCCTCCTGCACTGGTTTGAGGGAAGCTTCGAGGGATGCTTGTAAGGATGATTTGTCGGAGGCTGCTGAATCTCACAGTTCTATCCGTCATTCTGGTAACGGTGTGAGCAGCAGCAGAAGCAGCAGCAGCGGCGGCAGTGGCAGTGGCAGCAGTAAGCATCATCACAGCCGTAGCCAGGACAGCAACAGCAGCAGCAACAACGATAACAGCGGCAGCGGCAGTGGGAGCGGCAACCAGGGAAGCAGCCAGGGCAGCAGCAGCAAGAGCTCTCGCGGTCTCACTTTCCGCATGCGTGCAGCATCTAAGATGCAAGTGGCTATTTCCTTCCGCTCCCTCCGCTCTCTCTCCCGTCTCACCCTCTCCCCACGGGGAACCTCTGCTGCTCCACCCCCGCCTTCGGTTTCGCGTTCTCCCGCTTCTTTCACTGCACCCATTGCTGCTGCTTCTGCTGCTGCTGGTGCTGCTGGCGGTGCTGTTGCTGCATCCTCTCCTCCCCCTCTCCCTCCTCTCTTCCCTCAGTCCCCAGCCTCTGGAGAAGGCTGGCGGGGAGGAGGAACAGGAGGAGCAGGAGCAGGAGCAGGAGCAGGGACAGGGACAGGAACAGAGGCACTTGCAGCAGCGGGGGAGAAATCCTCTCTCTCCTCCCCTGCCGCCACCTCCTCAATCACTCCCCGCTCGTCCCATCCCGACGGGTACCTCCCATCCCCCACCACCCCATCCTCCTTCTCTTGCCCTGCCTCCTCGCCTCGCTCCCTCCCTGCCACGTCCCCCATGTCTTGCCGGCGCCGCCACGCGCGCTGGCCCAAACACTGGGACTCACCGGATGTGGAGAATATTCATAGAGGAGGAGCTGCTTCTCGCTCCACCTTGCTCTCAGCAGGAGGAGGGGCAGCAGGAGCAACAGCAGCTGCTGCTAGTGGTGGTGGCGCCACTGCCGCTGGCACGGCTGCAACTGGTGCTGCTGCTGGGGTGGCAGTTGGGTTGTCTCCTAGAGGGTACCCTGCTCCTTTGGGGGGTGGAGCGAGGCTGAGGGGAAGCAGTGGGGGAGTAGGAGGAAATACCCTCAACTCTGGTCTGCATGCGCACTCAGGACAACTGATGCCGTCCATGTTGTCCCCTCCTGGTGTTGCAGGGAGCGGGATGAGAGTGACTGGAGAGAAGCTTGATTCTCCCCAAGCCATGTCTCCGCTGGGGTTTTCATTCAGCAGTGTCCCGGGTGCTTCTCGCAGTTTGGAAAGCAAGGCGGGTGCTTTCACATCTTCCCATACAGCAGCAGCAGCACCAGCACCAGTGCCAACAGCAGCAGCTGCAGCAGCAGCCAACAGAAAGAGCACCAGCTCTCCAACCGTCATTGGGGCAGCAGCACCAGCACCTGCATTGGCGCCAATCCAAACAGCAGCAGGCATGGTGGGAAGAGTGGGAGGCCGGGCTGGTTTGCCTCCTGCCCCAACATCTCCCCTCGCTCTCCACCGCCCCCCTGCTCTCACCATTCAACCCAGTGGGGAGGTGTAATACAGAGCTCTGCAGGGGTGGAGTGCGGTTTAAGATGGACTTGCAGAGAATTGAAGTGGCAAAGCAGGCACCCTGCCCTCGTGCAGGTCTTTGCCCAGGCGAGTCAAGGCCTGCAACACAAATAGAAGTGAGGGGCTGGGTGAGGTACGGTACGGTACAATAAAGTACCAACGAAAAGGGCTGTATTGGAGGGCTTGTACAAGACTTCTCAACCAGACACCCCAGTGCTGGATTTGTTTAGGCTTTCATGGCTTCTCTTGTTAAACTCCTGTCTTCTCTTTCTGTCACTCTCCCTTTTGCTGCCCCTCTTTTTCACGCCTTTCCCCCTTCTTTTGAACGTGTTTCACCACAACACTTTTCCCAGTCATTTTCTCATTTCTGGTACATGATCACATAATCTGTAGAAATTAGAGGTTCAGGTCAGGTGGTACCTTCCCCATCCCCATCGGCACGGGGCTTCCCTCTTCCTTTGGTGGGCCTGTGTAGTGCATGAATCATATGAGTTGTGTGTGCATTGTAATCAGTAAACATCTGACTGGTTTTGGTTCTGCTCTGTTGAGTATCCATGTCAATTACGGTGCTCTACCATCTCTAGAGTAGGAAACGTAAGCGCGGCTTGACACAACACATGCCACTGCTGCAAATGCTAGGTACAATATTCGAGGCGGCAGAGGCAGAAGCAGAGTCATGCAGTGTGCGATGGGGTTATAAAGCATCAGACAGCCGTTAAGAACAAATGGCGAGAAATGTATCCAGCACAAGATTATGAGAAAATATCAAGTTGCTTGGTACAAGACCCCCTATTTGAGCTTTCCCCGCAGCTTCACTCCTAAGACTCTTTCCATCTTCCCCAAAATCTGTGGGTTGGGTATGGCCTTCCCACACTCGTACTCTTGGACAACTTGGGGTTTCTGCGAATAGCAAGAAACAAAACGGCACTTTGAGAAACGAATGCAAAGCTTCGATCAAATTTACCCATAAGTCCTAGAACACGCCAATTCCGCTCAAAGGAGATCGATATGATCAGAACAACAGATCTCGCCATCCACGGGTCGACAACATCAGAGACATCAAACATCATAACTCGCGTATAATCAACCAAGACGTTACCTCGTTAATCTTCTGCGCCAGCTGGGCTTGCGTGAGCTTGGCGTCCAGCCTGGCCTTTTGAATCGCCGCCTTAACGTCTACCGACACCTTCTCGTGCGCCAAGACATCCGTCTCCTCAGCGAGCTTCCGGGAGTGCATCGCAGGATTCGCAGCACCAGACTTGTTCGTTCCTGCATCGTACTTCTTAACGGACTCTATAGCCGCTCCTTGCCGCCTCGCCGCGTTCACGAGTTTCGGATCCTTGGTGTCGGCGGCTTTCTGTGGTCGTTTGTGGATGACGACTGGATCCCAGTCTTGTGAGATCCCACCGGGGCCACGGTTCGGCATGATTGATAGAGGCGTTGAGACACGAAAACTCGGATGAGAAGGGACGATATAGGATAGGAGTCGGGAGTCGCTAACACGAAGACACACGGACACAAACTGAGAAGAAATACAAGCCCGATTTCAACAAAATAGGTGACTTCTGCTGTAAGAAGAAATGGATTCTTCTAACACAAGGCACCGAATTCGCCGAGGAGTGGAGGGTTGGCAAATCAGATGCCTAGGTCAGCTCTTGGTGGATATATGCGGTCTGATGTGGTGGTGTCCTGTGGTGTGCTGAAAGAGTTCTTGGGGTTGACGGACAGGGTAAGGGGGAATGGGTGGAGAGAGCAGCGTGGGGAGGGATGGGGGGAAGGATGTGTGAGGTGTGCGGGGAAGGAGACTGCGGAGTAACAACTTGGGAGAAGGGAGCGCAAAGGGAATGTCAGAACTGGCCGAAGCAACTGCTTCCGCCAATGACCTTTTCATGTCTGCCAGCATGGCGTGTGCGCAGCCTTGAGATTGCCAAGAAAGGGCGCAAACCTCCAAGTTTCTTGTTGACTCCATCATGTCGCCAGCCTCCTTGATCGCTCACTTCAGCTCCTGTAACGCCGGCGAACTCTTTCGCAACTGGGTCAAGGCCAACCACAGAAGCAACAGGGGATGACGTGGAACGGACGGCTTGCGTGAATGGACGTTTTGAGCCATCTGGTAGCTTCCACGATTCAATGGTGACAATGAGGAAACGGTACCGTGAGGGTTCGGGGTTTAGGTGAGACTGATGTTACAAGTTCTTTTAGTGAGTGAGCTAATTCAGTGGAAAATATCATTCCACAACATGTGTTACGAGTGCAATTGAGTGAGCGAGCGAGGATTGCACTATCGAGGCAAGAATACAATGAGCGAAGAATATATAGCGAAGCTACAGTGGTAACGGTAATGTGTGGAAAATGGGGTGCGCGACGGGCCTGGTGCCGAGGTTCGGGGACTGTCGATGCGGAGGTCCGGAGCGCGGGTTACCAATCGAACCGTGAGGTTGGGTCGCATCGTGAACAGTGGCGGGAATGGGGTCGAGACGAATGTCGCGAGTGGTAACGGAATATTGTGGGGTGCTGTTGGCGGGAACAGTGGTGTACGCGCTGAGCAGGGACGCGAAGTAAGGAAAAGGAAATTTCCTTACACTACCCCCCCCCCCCCCCCCCCCCCCCCCCCCCCCCACCCCTCAAGGAGGCCTCTCTTACGAGAGCGCGTGTATATCCCGGAAATTTCGGCTGCGCAGATACTCGTTGAGGACGGGGTGGTTTTTGATGTTGTCCAGTGGAACCCAGTTGTCCTCGGTGGGCGTGCGGTCTCTCCAGCGGATTAGAAATTCGACCCTTCGAGCTCCTCGTGGGTCACGAACTCGGTGGCTCATAATCTTTTCAGGCGTGATGACTGGCTCGGTCGGTGGTCGTGTCATACTGGCTGGGCGATTTCGGGCCATTTGGCTAGTGGATGGGATGTAGGGGCGAAGCACGCTGACGTGGAAGGATAGGCTGACGTACCAGTCAGCAGGGAGGAGGAGGTGGGCGATGACAGGTGTGATCATGTGGCTCATGCGGAATGGCCCGCAATATCGGGGGCGGAGTTTCGGCGTTATGGGCAGGCGGAGGTTTTGAGTATCGAGTAGAACTAAGTCGTCGGGCTGGTAGGTGACGGGTCTGCGGTGGCGGTCGGCGTTGCGTTTCGAGAGGACGTTGGCTTTTTTTATTGCCTCTGCTGCCCTGGTTCGTGCTGCCTGTAAAACTTTTGCGAATTGTTGCGCACGTGGTACTGGGTTGTCGGGATTCGGGGTTATGGGTACTTTAGGGTCTTGTCCGTAGTTTAGGTAAAATGATGACTGTTGGGTTGTGGCGGATGGCGAGTTGTTGTACGCGAATTCGATGAGTGGCAGTTGCTGTTCCCGGGTGGTGGGGTCGTCGCACGTGGCTCTGGTTAACTGTTCCATGGTCTGATTTGTTCGTTCTGTCTGTCCGTCTGTTTCGGGGTGGTACGAAGAACTGAACTGTAGTCGCGTGCCGAACTGCTGCCATAGGTTCCGCCAGAAGTTGCTGGTGAATTCCGTGTCGCGGTTGCTGATAATCGATGCTGGTATCCCGTGCAGTCGAACGATGGTGGAGATGAAGAGGCGGGCTGTTTCTTCGGCTGTGATTGATTTCTTGCCGGCTGCGAAATGTGACATTTTCGTCAGTCGGTCGACGACGACCAGGATCGCGTCGTTCCCACTTGCCCCGGCTGGTAACCCCGTGATGAAGTCCATCATCACCTGCTGCCAAGGTCGCTCTGGGGGTGGGATCGGCTCCAACTGCCTTGCAAGCCGCTCCCGTGATGACTTCATGATTTGGTAGGTGGGACACGATGCCACGTGTCGCTGCACGTCGGTCAGCATTTCGGGCCAGTAATAATACCGTTGCAGCTCCTGCCGTATTTTTTCTACTCCGAAATGTCCTGAGGAGACTCCGTCGTGTGCCTCTTGCAACAATAATTCACGTAGGAGCGTGTAGCCCGGTACCCAGATGCGATCGGTGCCCGCTTATACGTAATAGACCCCTCTTGCCGTTGCAAATTGCTGCGAATTTCCGCCTGTAAAGAATGGGTCAGTCTGGTAACCATGGGTAAATAGGCCTGTCAGTAGGGGGCTGGTCTGGGTGAGTAGTATGGCGTGGAGTTGGGCTCTGGGCCGGGTTAATGCGTCACGATGTTCGATGCCCCGTTTTTGTAGGTGACCGTGTAGTGAAAATTCGACTCGAGGTAGCCGAGCCAGCGGATTTGTCGTGGGTTGAGGTGGGGTTGTTGTCAGAGTTACAAACGAGAATGAATGAACTAGCAAACAGTTGGGTACAAGTACTGACCCTAATTGGGTTGTACCCCTTATGGGCTACCTCACTACAGCCTACACAAATGTATAAGCTATAATTGTCAAACTTATATGCCATAGTCTGTCTAGGCTGTAGTGGGGTAGTTCATATAGGGTACAACACTTTTAGGTTTCCTACTTGTACCCACCTGCTTGCTAGTTCAGTCATTCCTTCCTTCACTATTCTGACATGGTATCCTGAGCAGGTTCCCTCGTGGGAACGTTTTTTTTTAGGGCCCACCACGATAACATTTTTTTTCCTGCCCTACCCGAAGCGCGCCTCGCGCCTGCCTCACCTGCGCCATTGCGCGCCCTGCCCTAGTACCGCCGTGTCGCTGCCCTGCGCTGCCGCCGACGCGTCGCGGCCATGCCCTTCAGCCGGCCCAGTCGCGGCCCTGCTCTACCGCGGCCCTGCCCTGCTGCCGCCCCAGTCGCGGCCCTGACCTAACCGCCAGCTGCGGCCCTGCCCTGCACCAGCCCCTTGTAAGAACCTGCGCCGCCCAGTCGAGCCGCGCCGCTCCTCCGAGCCGCCCCGCCCTGCCGCCAAGAGCCGAGCCGCGCCGCCCAGCCGAGCCGCGCCGCCCTACCGAGCCGCGCCGCCCTGCCGAGCCGCGCCGCCCTACTGAGCCGCACTGCCCTGCCCGCACTGCTGCTTCTGCTGCCACTGCTGCTACTGCTGCTAGTACCGCTATGGTTAGCCCTAATGTTCTTACCTTTGATGCTGAGGGGCGTGCGGTTGACTTTGACGTGTGGGCTGACGAATTGCAGCTCTTTCTTCAGTGTGACTCTAAGGACGGAGTATCCCTTTTCGATCACACGTCCGGTGTCTCTCGTGCACCTGCTGCCACTGCTGACAGTACGGTTCGCTCACAGTGGACCACTCGTGACGCTGTTGCTCGCCTTGCTGTTCGTAGTCACCTGCCGTCTTCTGAGCGCGCGCACTTTGGCCAGTACAAGACTGCTAAGTCTTTGTATGACGCTGTCGTAGCGCGCTACTCCTCCCCTGCCACTGCTGCCCTCAGCCGCCTCATGCTGCCGTACCTGTTCCCTGACCTTGCCGCCTTTGCCACAGTCGCTGACCTCATTACTCACCTCCGCACTAGTGACGCCCGCTACCGCGCTGCGCTTCCCACTGAGTTCTGTGCCAAGAACCCCCCCCCCATGTACATCATCCTTTACTAGCTAGTCACCCGCCTCCCTGACTCCCTTGCTTCAGTCAGGGACCACTTTCTCTCCCTTTGCCCCACCAAGCTCACCGTCGACCTGCTAGAGGAGCGCCTCACTGCAGCTGAGAAGAGTATCGTTGTTGTAGGTGCTTCTCGTGGCGACCCTCGCGCCCCTTTCTTTGAGGGGTGTTCCCCTGTCCCCCTTCTCCCCTCTGTTGCTTCTGCTGCTGCTGTCGACCTCGTTGGCACTGAGGAGGTCGGGGCTGCGTCTGCTCCTAGTGGGAGGCGCCGCAACAGCAAGGGCAAGGGGGGCAAGGGTGGTGGAGGGGACGGTGGGGGCGGCGGTAGAGGCGGTGGAGGAGGCGGAGGGGGTGGTGGTGGAGGTAGGGGTGGTGGCGGGAGTGGGGGCTTCGGTGGCGGCGGTGGGGGTGGTGGAGGCAGCGGCAGCGGCGGTGGAGGCAGCGGCAGTGGTGGTGGAGGTGGCAGCGACGGTGGTGCTGGTCGAGGTGGAGCCGCGCAGCGTGGAGGCTTTGGTGGTAGCCAGCGCCAGCAGCAGCCGCGTTCTCGTGAGACCCCGTCAGCCCAGCAGCTTCGTGAGTGGTACGCCGGGCGTGGGGGGTCTGGGGGTGTTGGTCCCTGCACTTAAGTTCTTCGCACCGGCGGGCGCCGTGGGGAGACGTGCGGGCTGCCACACACTACGCAGCGCTGCTTCGGTCGCCTGACTGACGCCTGGCGCGCCCAGTTTCGTGACGGTGTTGAGCTCCCTCGCAGGGGTGATCTGCTTAAGCAGAATGTTGCTATCTTTGATATTGATTTCGATGCTATCCTTGCTGCCATGTATGCTGCGTCTGATAGTGCTGAGGGTGACTGTTACCTGTGTGTTCCGCCCGACCCGGACATTGAGGCTGCTGCTCTAGGTGCTAGTGAGTCTGCTGCTCCAGGTACTAGTGAGTCTGCTGCTCCAGGTACTAGTGAGTCTGCTGCTCCAGGTGCAGGTGAGTCTGCTCTCTTTGGTACTCCACCTACTGAGGCCTTGCACACTTTCACACTTGACTCTGGTGCTTCGCGCTCCTTCTTTCGCGACAGCACCACACTCACGCCGCTCAGTCGACCTGTCGCAGTCTCCCTGGCTGACCCCTCTGGGGGCCCAGTCCTTGCGCACTCTTCCACGGTTCTACCGTGTCCTGCGGCCCCGTCGGGTTTGCTGTCGGGACTCCACCTCCCCTCGTTCTCTACGAACTTGGTGAGTGGAGCTGACCTCCAGGACGTGTGGGTTGACCAGTTCACCCCTGGAGGTCAGCGTGTGACCCACTGCACTTGCTCTCGGACGGGCCGCCACCTGGCCACGTTCACCCGTTGGCCTGGGTCGAGTCTGTACACACTGACCACCGCGTCTCCTCCGGTTGCTGCGTCTGGTCAGGTAGCTGTGTCTGGTCAGGTGTTTGCTGCCGCGTCCAGGTCTAGTCCAGCATCTGCCCCCTGCTCGCGTCGTCCTCTGTCACACGAGACTCTCCTTTGGCACCACCGCCTTGGTCACCCCTCCCTGCCTCGTCTTCGAGGTATGGCCTCCCGTACCCTTGTCTCTGGTCTCCCCCGGTCCCTCCCTCGCCTTCCTCTGGAGCCTGCCCCTACCTGTGTTCCTTGTTTCGAGGGCCGGCGGCGCGCCGCTCCTCACTCCTCCGAGTTCCCTCCGACAGAGGCTCCCCTGCAGACTCTCCACATGGACGTGTGGGGCCCAGCCCGCGTCCGTGGACAGGGTCACGAGCGTTACTTCCTGCTGGTCGTTGAGGACTACTCGCGTTACACCACAGTCTTCCCCTTGCACCGCAAGAGTGAGGTCACTGGCGTGTTGATCGACTGGATCCGCGGTGCCCATCGCCAGCTCAGCGAGAGTTTCGGCTCGGACCTTCCTGTTCTGCGTCTGCACTCAGACAGAGGTGGTGAGTTTTCCTCCGACCTTCTGAGGGCTTTCTGTCGTGCGGAGGGCATCCACCAGACGTTCACGCTTCCGGCCTCCCCACAGCAGAATGGGATTGCTGAGCGCCGCATTGGCATGGTCATGGACGTCGCTCGTACGTCCATGATCCATGCGGCTGCTCCCCATTTTCTGTGGCCGTTCGCGGTTCAGTACGCTGCGCATCAGATCAACCTTCAGCCTCGTGTCTCCTTGCCGAAGACCACATCTACTCTGCGGTGGACGGGGAAGGTTGGCGATGCGTCTGTGTTCCGTGTCTGGGGATCTCGAGCTTTTGTCCGCGATATTTCCGCGAACAAGCTGTCCTCCCGTGCCGTTCCCTGTGTCTTCCTTGGCTTCCCCCCTGACGCACCTGGGTGGCAGTTTTACCACCCCACCTCGCGTCGTGTTCTGTCCTCTCAGGACATCACGTTTGACGAGTCGGTATCTTACTACCGTCTCTTTCTCTACCGCACTGCCCCTCTCCCCCCCCCCCGGCCACTCTTCCTAGCACCAGGTGCTCCTTCGGTAGACCCCCTCCCCCCTCAGGGTCCTGCCCCCTCAGGTGTGTCCCAGGTAGACCCTGTCGAGCCTGTCGAGGTAGCTGTCGACTCTCGTGCTGCTAGGGGTGCTGAGCTTGCGGGTGCGGGGCCTGGGGGTGCTGAGCCTAGGGTTGCTGAGTCTGAGGGTGCGGAGCCTGGGGGTGCTGGGCCTGAGCGTGTGGAGCCTGGGGGTGCTGAGCCTGGGGGTGCTGAGTCTAGAGGTGCTGAGCCTGGGGGTGCTGAGCCTGAGCGTGCTCCAGGTGTCCCGTCACGGCGGGAGCCCCTCTCTCCGCTGCAGCTGCGTGAGTGGTACGCTTGGCGCTGTAGTCGTGCTGCTGGAGCTCCGGGGCCTGCTGCTGGAGGTGCTTATGGAGCTGGAGCTGCTGGAGGTGCTGCTGGTGCTGGAGCTTCTGGAGCCGCTGGTCCTGGAGGTGCTGGTGCTGGAGGTACTGGCGCTGTTGGAGGTCCTACTGGTGTTGGAGCTGCTGGAGGTGCTGGAGCAGCTGGTCCCGGAAGTGCTCGTACTGGAGGTACTGGAGCTGCTGGGGCTGGTGGTGCTGCAGGAGTTGGAGCTGTAGGTGCTGGAGCTGCTGCTACTGGAGGTGCTGCTGGAGGTACTGGAGCTGGAGCTACTGGAGGTACTGGAGCTGGTGGTGCTGCGGGAGTGGTAGCTGGAGACCCTGGAGCTGAGGGTACTGGTGTTGTCTCTGCTGTTTCTGGAGGCGCTGCGCGGCCGCGGCCGTACTACGTTCCGCTCCTTCAGCAGGTTCTTGGTCTCCCGCCTTCTACTGGTCCTACTCCTCCCTTACTGATTCCACCGCCTGTCCAGTCACAGTCGCAGTTACAGCCAGCCTCTCCACTGCCTGGTCCTTCTCCTTACTCTGGACCGACTAGAGGTCTTACGGAGCGTCGTTTGCCTGAGTCTCGTCCTGCGTCGCCCGAGTCTCGTCCTGCGTCACCCGAGTCTCGTCTTGAGTCGCCTGTTCGCGCTGTTCGCACTGGTCGACATGTTCCGCGCCAGCGTCCTCCTCCTGTCCCCGGCACTTACTTTATGACTCTGCGTCCTTCCACTGCTCCACAGCGTCTCCCTCTGCCGTCTCCTCCTGCGTCCTCTCTTCTTGACGGTCCGGACCCGGGGTCTGACTCCCTTCGTGCTGCTAGTCCTACTGTCACGCGTTTTCTGGCCACTGTTGTCACTGACCCTTCGTTTGAGTCCACTGCTGCGTCTGCTCTAGTTGCTGAGCTTGTTGACTTTGCTGCCGCCTGTCGTCTAGACTACGCCGCTAGTCTTGTTGCTGAGTCTGAGTCTGCGTCTGTGTGTCCTCCGTCCATCGGGGGTGAGTCTGCTCTTGGCACGGACGTCCTTGAGGACAGACAGGAGGAGTTTGAGTGCTTTGCCGCTGCTTTACCTCATCTTGTGTCCATGCTGCTTGCCCTTGAGGGAGACCCGGATGCACCAGACATCCCGACCCCGCGCTCTTACGCAGAGGCAATAGAGGGTCCCTACTCCTCTCAGTGGCAGACAGCCATGGACACAGAGATGGCTTCCTGGAAGTCCACAGGCACCTACGTCGACGAGGTTCCCCCACCTGGGGCGAACATCGTCAGTGGCATGCGGATTTTCAGGGTGAAGAGGCCGCCGGGTTCTCCGCCTGTCTTCAAGGCGCGTTACGTTGCACGAGGCTTCAGTCAGCGACAGGGAGTTGACTTCTTCCAGACCTTCTCCCCTACCCCGAAGATGACCACTCTTCGGGTGCTGCTGCACGTCGCCGTGAAACAAAAAACACTCGTTGAGAAGTGCTCCACAACTTAGAATGATAAGCATGATAAGCTACAAGGAAGAAGCGGCTCTGAGACGGCGTGAATTGTAAATCATTTCAAATGATTCTGACATTACACTCATGCATATATCCAGCAATGTGTTAAAACACGTAGTTTATGGTCTCACATATAACTTCCGGGGCGTTGGTAAGTCCGAATGTACCGCGGCTCAATCCTACGATCCATAGTATAACAGGACTCGTTTCTGATCCACGCAGCAAACATATTATCATATACTAAACATGGTTTTCATTTATTGTCATAGCACATATCCTAATCACTGTACAACTCTGTCGCCGCTGCATTGTTGAATGTGCCACATATTTCTTCCACCATTGGCTTCCAAATCCTCACACGTGCATTGATAAACCAATTCGAGACCTGCATAGACTCAGGAAACACCAAAATCGCAAGGCACATGGCCAGTAGAATTGTATATCTGCTTGCCACCCCCTTCGCGTGCACATCCCCATACATTCAGTGGTACAGTATAGTAACATTGACTAACGCATTTTGTGAGATCAGTCTCACCTGTGCCCGGGTAAGCTGTGTTGCCTTAGAAAGCTCATCCTTGTCCTCGTCTGTCGGGTACCTACAATACACAAACACCAAAAGGAGTGTGAAATGGAAGATTTTTGTCAGGGGTTTGCAAAGGGAACAATGTGGATTTTGCATTGCACAATCGAATGCATTACAGGGGTTTACGGGGGGGATTGGCACTGCACGAGATGGTTGCTCGTTTGCATGTTAACATATGACTAGCATGTCTCGAGTACATTGCTACAGGGTATTGGTGCTGGGAGTGGTTGTTTGCATGGGCATATGCAAAGAAAAACAGCATAAAGTTGATGTGGGTGAGCATGCAAAGTCCATGCGTGAAGGCATAGCTGCATAGCCACACAGCTCTTCAGAAGAAGCTGTGATCCGTGATGCCCCCATGCCCCCGTGAAATCATGGCCCCGTGCACTCATGACCCCATGCCTTCATGCCCCCATGCCCTCATTCCCCCATGCCCCCATGCCCCCATGCTCCCATACCATCAGAATTCCCAGAGAATATCAAGGGTACTCACGGGCTGAGGAAATGTGCAAAGAGCCAGGCTCGCAGAATGGCTGTCTTCTCATCTGGCAAACACCGCTGCTGCTGCTGCTGCTGCTGCAGCTGCTGCTGCAGCCGCTCATGCTCCCCTCTGCTGCCATTCAGCTGCATTTCCTCCGACATTGAAGCACCCACTTGCCGTGCCCCCTCTTGCTCTTGCTGCGATTCCCCTGCTCCGCCTGATCCTCCTGCATTGGGCCGGGCTGCTGCTGTAACTGCTGCTGCTGCCGTTGGTGCGTGCTCTAGGCGCTCCTTCCTCTTCACAACTTCCTGAGCGGTTGGTTGGAAAATGGAGGCAACAAGGAATGGAGGGTGCGAGGGGGGGAGGGAGGGAGAAAGAGAGGGAGGGAGGTAAGTGGGGGCTAATGGAAGGGGCTCTACCTCACCATAATTCTTCTCTACCTCACCTCACCATGCACTGTAAAGAAGAATGTAAGTTGGTCCTGATGGTACGGTCGGGAAACGGTTAACTTACCTCGTTTACATGGTGAAGCGAGTGAAGAAGAAGAAATTAAAGTGGGAAAAGGATCAGGGAAAACGCCTAGACGGGTAAGTGGACGGGGATGCAGTATGGGTGGGTGTCTGGCTTGCTAGCGTGTAAGGTAGGTGGGCTTAGAGCTGTGAAACGGCTGTGATACCTGGTTGCATGTTATAATGTTATCATGTTATAATGTTATCATGTTATCATGTTATCATGTTATCATACCCTCACCCAACACAGGTACAAACCATCGAGTAAATCTCACCATATGCTGCTCGATTGCCATGGCCGCTTCATGAAAGCTTCCGCTCACGACCGCCAGGGGTAGAGAGGAGTAGAAATTGGCTGTGCCAGTGTTGGCAGCAGAGGCGAGGCAGGAGCGGAGGGAGGAGAGAGAGGCGGCGTAGGTATGCAGAGCGTCAAGCAGCTGTTGGAAGGGGTTGGGATGGGTTGGGAGCGAGAGGGGTTGATTGAGTTTTGAGTTGTCTCAAAGGGGACCGAGGCGCAGCGGGATCGGAGGGAGGAAAGAGAGATGGCGTAGAAATTGAGAGGAAGTTGAAGCTGTAGAAGGCGAGAGGAGGCATTAAGCAACGGTTGGAAGGGGTTGGGTAGGAGCGAGAGGGAGTTTGAGAGGGAAAGACTGGGATACACGGGGGTGATTTTGGGACAAGTGGGGAAAACATGGGGGATATATTGGGGGTATAGGAATGAAGGGGGAATAAATGGGGAAAAGGTGGGGGATAAATTAAGCATTTATGAAAGGAGTACGTCTAGCCTCCATACCTGAACTTCCTTCTTTCACCTCCTCAATCAGGCAGCAAGAGAGGCAGGAGAGAGAGGGATGCCTGGACAATGCTTAGCCACACTCACAACAACAAACTTAGCTCACTATGCGCTCACCTCCTTAGCCACACAACAACTTCCATTCCTCCAGTGTCCTCCTTCCCATCCTTTTATCTCCGTCCCTCCTCCCACCTTCTCTCCTCCCTCATTCCCTCCTCCCTCCTGCGTTTCTCCCACCTTCCTTCCTCCCCATCCACGAACAGCAACCTCGTTACAGTCACAGTCACCCCACAGCACCGCACTGTCTTGCAGGGACAGCAGCTGCTGCCAGCGCTCCTCAAAGTCAGAGTCACACCCCGTACTGTCACACACCACATGCGTTGCTGCTGCTGCTGCTGCTGCTGCTGCTGCTGCTGCTGCTGCTGCTGCTGCTGCTGCGGCTGCTGTTGCTGCCTTCCCTGCTGCTGCTGCCTCATCCACTGCTGCAACCTCTGCCACCGCTCTTGTTCCTGCATTGTTTCTTGAACCTTCAGTAAACAGCCCCACCTTTCGGCCAGCTGTCCCCTCCCACTCCATTCTCTCCTCTTCATTTTCCCTTACTCCTTCCTTTCCCTCCCCTCCCCCATCCTCCTCCTCCTCCCCACCCTCCTCCATACCCTCCCACTCCTCATCCCGCTCCTGCTCCATCACTTTCACATCACACTCATCCCACTCTCTCTTCCCCTCACCCCCAACACCCCCCACATCCACCGCACGAATCATCCCATCTCCAGCACCAGTTAGCGGCAACAGATGAGATGTCTGATTCGCCTCCAAGCCAGCACGCACCACAGCATCCCCAGCGCCCTCTAGTGGTACTAACTGCGGCATCAGCTGCGGTACCAGCACCGGTGGCAGTACTGGTGGCAGCGCTGGTGGCAGCACAGGCGGCAGCACAGGCGGCAGCACAGGTGGTAGAACAGGTGGTAGCAGTGATGGCAGCACGAGCGGCGGCGGCTTTTCAATCGGGGAAACAAACCCACTCTCACGCATAACCCCCCTCTTTATTTCCCCAGCTTCGCCAGTCAAGGGTGGGTGCAGCAGCAGCAGAGAGTGAGGCATCTCAATATCCGGGAAAGAACCAGGACGAACCAGCAGGGGGGACATGTGTAGGGCCTCTGTACTGGTGCCGAGTGTTTGGTTCGGAGGGGAGTGCGAGAGCGTGGGGAGGGAGGAGGGGTGCTGGGAGAGGGTGAGAGGAGAGAGGGGGTGGGAGGGAGGGGATGATCCGAATGGAGATTGCAGGGGCGCTGTGTGGGAGTATGAATACTGCACGCCAGCAAGGGAGGTAAGGGAGCTTGGATTAGGCGAGTGGTGAAAGGGAGAATCGTGAAGGGTGGAATGGAGAAAGGGTGAATGAGAGAAAGGAGCATATTGAAAGGGCTTGTAATCAGCACTTTCTGCATTGAGAGAATAGTCCGGATGGTGACTGCAGGTGAATGATAAAGGCCCAGGTGCCTTTGCAGGTGCCGCTTCAGGTGTTTTTTCAGGTAAATCTGGCTCTACTGCTGCACACGGTGGCTGGGGATCTCCACCAGTCTGGGTGAGCTCCGCTCCCACTGGCTGCTTCACAGGACACTTGTCACCCCCTCCACTCCCTGCCACGCCGTCCCCATCGCCAAGTGTATGCACGTGCATATCTTGATCAGCCAACGCACTCGTGTCTTCAGACTTGAGGTGTTGATGGTTGGGGAGGCAATCACTCGTATCCATGGCTTCCCTCGGAACATGAGTCGTAGCAGCAGTAGGGACAGTAGCGGCAGCAGGGACAACGAGGGTAGCAGGCGCAGCAGGAGTACCAGCGGCAGCTGCAGCAGCAGCAGTGGAACGCAGTGGGCCCGGGCATACCTGTATCAGCAGGTCCATGCACGCGGATAGCAGCAAACTGTGGTTGCTGGATAGAGAGAGTGGGGAGAGAGGAGGGAGGGTTGAGATTGGAGAGAGGCGGGATGGCTGAGAGGGTTGGGAGGGCCGAGAGGGCGGAGTGGGCGAGGAGGGCGGAGAGCGAGGAGAGGAAGGAGAGGAAGTGGACAGAGAGGCATGATGAAGGACTGCTGCTGCTAATTTCTCCTGCTGCTCCGCATCCTCTTCCTCTTCCTCACCCTCCTCCTCTTTCTCCTCCTCCTCCTCCTCCTCCTCCTCCTCCTCCTCCTCCTCCTCCTCCTCCTCCTCCTCCTCCTCCTCCTCCTCTTCCGCCTCTTCCTCCTCCCACCACATGCCAGCATCCCAATTCTCCTTGATGCTGCTTCTGGCTTCCCAACCATCAGTGCATGCATTCACAGCAGCAGCAGCAGCAGCAGCAGCAGGAGGAGAAGGAGTATCAAAAGCATCAGCAGCATTAGCATTGCCATGGCTGCTGCCAAAGCCACCCTCACCCGCATGGCAGTCACTCAGCATCTGCTGCAGAGTGTCTTCATGCTCATATGGGTAGCTGGGGGAATGGTCATCTTGCGGATGGTCTCCAAATTCGTGAGTATGTGGATAGCCGGGGTCATGGTTATGTGGAGAAAAATGAACATGGGTAGCATGGTTATCATGGTGATGGTGATGGTGATAAGAATGGGGATGGTAGCTGCATTCGCCCTCCTTCTCCCCCATCACCATCTTCATCATCATCCCTGCAGACAGCCGTCCCATCTGCTCCTCCATCTCTCTCTCTCCAAACCACTCTCCTTTGCCGGCAGGACGGGCAGCACCAGGATCCACTGCCCCAACAACATCACCATCACCATCAGTTTCATCATCATCATCATCATCAGCAGCAGCAGCAGCAGCAGCAGCAGCAGCAGCAGCAGCAGCAGCAGCAGCAGCAGCAGCAGCAGCAGCAGCAGCAGTAGGAGCAGCAGCAGCAGCAGCAGTAGCAATAGTACCAGCAGCAACACCGCCACCAGCAGCAGCAGCATCACCGCCACCAGAACCACGACCATTGTCATCACCATCGCAATCAGTGCTAGTCGCCCCTGATATCCCAACACACACCCTACTCCTCCGCCTCCCCCTCTCACCAGTGCTGCTACCCCTCCCTTCTCCACCACCCCTCCTCAACCGCTCCCTCCTCTCCCACGCGCGGCACTTGCGCTTCTCTCGCCCGCCTCCTTCCCCACCCTCCCCCAACCCTATCTTGCTCATGCTCTTATCCACACCTTGCTGCTCCCCCTGCTTCAACGGTTGCTGCTGCTGCTGCTTCATCTGTTGTTGCTGCTGCTCCTGCTCCTGCCACGGCGGTTCACTGACACCAGCAGGACGGCCACGGTCCACCAGCAACGGCGTCGCATCGCCCATGAGCAACAAGTCACTCCATGGCGTGTCGCGAGGCATGCCGCTGCTACTGCCAGTCCCACCAGACCCCAAGTCTCCAGGCCCCGCAAGCCTCAAACCGCCAGCACCCCCTTGAGTGACGCCCATACATTCAAAGCCGGTAACCCCTTCAGACCCCAAGCCGTCAGCCCTTCCGGACATCAGGCCACCACCACTCCCCCCATCGCGCGGCATCTCGAAATCTGATCCCAGGAAGCCCCATTCCTCGACGCCGTGCCAGTTCAGTATAGAGTGATCCGTTATTATAAATCCGCCGTGCACTCCTCCATGGTTCGTAATGGTAATCGTACTAACAACCTCTGCCGTTTCCGCAGTCTCCGCAGCCTCCGCAGCCCCCGGTGGAACAGGAGCTGCCGAAACCGCCATATCCTCGCAAGTACTACCACTTGAGACATCGCCGCTACCATTCTCTTGCGGCCGCGGCGGCACTCGCGGCGACACTCGCGGCGGCGCTCGGGGCGGTGCTCGCGGCGGAAATTCGACGAATTCCGGCGTAGTTAAACCGAAGTTACCACTACTACCGTGGTAATGACTACTATTCATAAGCGGGTCCGCAGCGGAGGTGGCGGAAGGCGGAGGGTCGGTACTCGCGTCGCACTGGCGCGTGCCGCGTAGCCGCTCCTTCAGTCGCCCGAACGACTTCGTCCTCGTTACAAGCAAGTCGCGCTCCATGTTTCGGTCGGGAAACCGGTCGCCTTCTACTTACTACTGGCGGTACACGCAGCAGCTGTGCCTGTCATCGGCCACTCAGTGTTAGGAGAAACGCTCTGGCGAACGTAACCTGACGCCGTCGCTTTGGTCTAGAAAGAGCAGGTCGAACACAACAGTATCCTGACCACAACGTATCTCTGACTGCGTTGGTTAAACAACGGGACGGTGACCACGGAAAATTCGTTGGTACGGGAGAGGGAGACTGTAAATATTATCAACAGGACTACTACTAGTAGTAAGTATTTGAAAGGCGTCGCTGGTACTACCACGACATCTCGTACGGAAAATCCTGAGCACGCTTTGCTGGTTATGCTCCGCCTTCAACTTAAATACCTCGCAGCGACCAGCGCCTGGACAGGGGATCGCGAAAGAGCCTGAATTGCCGTCCTTCTGCCACACTTTGCCCCTACTCCTCTCAGACTGTACGGACAGTTTTTCCTAGAGCTGAGTGAGGTGGGTGTGTGAGGGTGGGTAGGAGGGAGAGTGCTTGTGCTTGGTGGGTGGGTGGGGGGGAGGAGAAGCGGACGAGAGGCGAAAAGGCGAAGATGCCCTGTCCTGTTTTGAACAGAACAGCAGAAATGTGGAAAATCGGACCGCATCCTGGGGCACATTTCTGAGCCACATGCGATGCGATGTGCTGCGATGCGATGCTATGCGGTGCCAGCCCCGCCAGGAGCGCGATTCGACGTGACATGACAGAACCGGCTGTGGCGTGGAACTTGGTGAGGTGACAAATTGACATAACTCGAATGTACACACAGAGCAGTAACGTACGGTGCAAAATGCCTATAAATATTACTAGTTAAACCATATTCTAGCTTGTGCTTATCTGGTTTACATTCAAAGAATAGGATACAGTATTTAGACTTCTCGTGGGGAGTCCTTGCCGCCAGTGACAGTAAGGAGCGGTCTGTCATCAGAATGATCTTCGGAAGCCGCTAAGTCCTTCAAGTCCTCAGCTGATGCAGCAGCACGCATCGTCATCTTGTTCCATTCGTTTTCTACTCTGAAAAATACCCACTGAAATCTGCGTGCCATTTCCAGTGCTGTGACCACAAAGGTTGTGGCGAGGTTGTTGCGAAGGTGAGATGAAAGCTTGTATGTCCAGGAGATGCGAAGAACAAGGTTGGAGCACATAACCCAATAGTACACCTGCCAAGCAAATTGCAGCAAGTTTTAGGGCAATAAAATGCACACCACAACTATGCACCACTGTCACTATCCAGGATTTTATGGCAAATAATGCTTGTGGTAGGTGTTTTCTGGAGCAATAGAAAAAAGGCAGGAAAGAATCAACATTATCAAGGGATAAGGCATAGAATGCGTACCCATCTTTGTGGAAAGTAGAGGTTGCTGCGGAGAAGAGGGTTTCGCGAGTTGCAGTTACCAGAAAAGCACCTGGAGAGTGGGAAGGGATGGGAAGGTGTGAGGCGAGACAGGGAAAGGGATGGTTACGAAGAACAAGAACAAGAATCAGATATGGTTACGAAGCAGAGGGCTTAGGAATTTACAAATGTATGTAGAAAGTGGGGAGATAGCTCCAACAGGAGATGAAATGTATGAGAGAAAAGTGCACAGCAAACAGGCCCAACAAAGAGATAGGGCGCGTCCCCTCCCTCGATCGATCGTGCAAAATCAAGGACGATCGATCCTCCACCGCACTAAATCCTGCGTTTTTGTGTTTTCGACTTTGTTAACCTTTTTAAACCGAGCGCAGGATCGATCCTACGAAGGATCGATTGAGGGAGGGGACGCGCCCATAGCTCCAGCAGGAGTCAGCAGCAGCGAACACTGCCGCAGGATCAGCAAGAGAAAGTACCTGAACTTTCAATCTCGCAATTCATCCCAGCAGTAGGAAAAAAAACGAGTTGACTACCAAGGCAAGTTTCGAGGCTCCTCAAATGTAGGAGCAGCACGAGAACGTACCCGAAGTCCCAATCTCTGGATATATCCCAGTAGTAGGAGTAGCATGAGTTGACCACAGACGCCATGAGCCACAGTGGGCGGTACACCGCTCTCCACCGCTCTACAGGCACATGGTACTTGGTGGCTGATAGGATGATCACCGGGAATGCTGTCGAATACTTGAGAGCTGCAGGGCGAAGCAGGCAATGGACGGGAAGGATGTTGAGTTGATCAAGAAACGGTACTTGGTGGCTGACAGGATAATTACAGGGAATGCTGTAGAATACTTGAGAGCTGCAGGGCGAATCACTTAGCAGAAGGGAGGGTTCCCCTTAGAAGGCAAGGGAGGAAGGAGGGGTGGAGGGATTGGTGGAAAGCCCATTCTAGTGCTAAAAAGCATTATCATAGGAAGCTGAGAGCTGCAGGGCGAAGAATGTGTTGGGTCGACTCAAACCACAAAAGACACACCATCGAGCAGACGGGACTTGTCTCTGCGCAAAAGAATGTGTCGGAGTACTGGCGCATGCACTGGAAGAATTGGCATGCATGACTTTTCGAGTCGACTAAATAACACATGCATGCGCACATGCACGCACGCAGACATCCACACACGCACACATGCACACATACACACATGCAAGCAAACATACGGACGCACCATTGAGCAGGCAGGACTTGTCGCGGGTGTCGGAGTACTGGCGCAGGCACTGGAAGAAGCGGCAGGCGTAGGGGAAGGCGAGCACGATGGGGATCATGAGGGAGTGGCTGCCACACACGTCCCCTGCGTCCATCCATGCTATACTCGCCACCTGGTGGGTTGCAACAGGAGGACATTGGAATAGTTTTGGGGAGGTGGTTGGGAGGAGATGGTTGGGAGGAGGTGGGGACAATTAGGAGGAGTTGGGGATGGAGATGCATCAGGGGGGACTATACAAGGCACGATGAGGTAGGTGGAAAATGGAGGCAAAAAGGGGACTTTTGAGTGTCGTAGCTCAAGGTCAGACAGGCGGAAACGCAGGCAGGCAAACAAACAGTCAGTCCGACAGACAGACAGAGGGACGCACCTGGCCATGGGACATGCGGCAGATAGACCGCTCCACATCAGACAACACCTGCAAGAGGCACAAGGCACGAGGCGAGGCGGGTCAGCACAGGAGAAACACAGGGTTGGACGGTTTAGGGTACAACGCTCTAGGCCTGACAGGTGAGAGGGGCTGGTTTGAGATCCTGGATTCAAGTTGTTGGGATTTGAAATCCTTGGGGGACTTTTGAGTCGTCTCAGAAGGCTCCCCAGGCTTAGTCGGCGCATGAGAGATGGTAGTTTGAGAGCCTGGATTTGAGCACTTGGGGTTTGATTTCTTAAATCTGGGGCTGTAAGAAGCACCAGAGCAAATGGATGACATGAGATGGTGTGGGGTAGTAGACGGGACAGGGGATGGGTTAGTGGAGGAAAACGGTTGGGGCCTGGATGGGAAAGGTGACAGAAAACGGATGGGTTAGAGGGATGGGGTTGGGGATGCAAAAGCGGGCGGAATACAGGCTGAGGTAGAGCACATCATGGTATGGCACATCACAGCAAGGCACAACGGGCACCCGTGCATCATATGCATCATAATGCATACAATGACATACCTTGGCCATGGAGGAGAGCACATTGCGGCACGGCACATCATACCAGGGCATGGCACATAACAACACAGCGGAACGGAGTAGCCCTATGCAAGAAGGATGCTGCATGATGCATGATGCATGCAATGCATACCTTGGCCATGGAGGTAAGCACATCAGCCACGAAGAAATCCGCAAACGTGATTGGCTGCAGTGGAAGCGGGAATGAGGGGGGTGGGGGCGGGGGAATTGGACAGACGGGATGAAAAGCATGGAGAGGACGAGAGGGGAGGTTAGAGCAAGCTTACGGTGACCTAGTCAGGTCAGGGCAGGGACAAAGTCCGGGAGAAGCGTGGGTTATTGAGGCATGAGAGATGTGTAGGGCAGGGTGAGGGAAGCATGGAGGACGGGATATTGATGGGAGAAACCGGTGTGAAGAAAAGGTGAAGAAAGAAGAGAGGCGAGGAGAGATGAGGAGAGGTGAGGAGAGATGGGGAGAGGTGAGGAGAGGGCTGAGAGGGTGTTAGTGCAATGGTGAAGGAGGATGGAGGAGAGGAGGATAAGGGAGAAGGGGAGAGGGGTGGGGTAGATACAGGCCAGGTCAGCAGGGGCGAATGAAGGGATCGATTGGAACAACCGGGGGAAAAGAGCACCACACAATGTAAATATTATGGCTTCAGCCGCCTCTCTGTCCCCTTCCCGTACTCCACCACAACTCCCTCACTCGCTCTCCATTCTTCTCTCCACCTCTATTTTTCTCCTCGCTCCCCCACCCTCTCCCTCTCCCCCCTTCCCCCTCCCACCCTCCAACCCTCCTCCCTTCATCCCTCCTTCCCTTGCCTCCCACTCTTCCTCCCTCCGCCCCCCCCCCCACCCCCCCTCATTGCAGTTTCTTAGTTTCTTACTTGCAGGGGGAAGGTGAGTCGAAAGAGAGTGGTTAGGAAGTAGACGCGAGAGGGGGCGTAGAGCACATCAAAGGGCAGGGCGAGGGCGAGGGGTAGAGAACAGTACATCAGTACCTAGAACAAGGGGCATGGGGCATGGGAATAGGGCATGGGGAATGGGGCATGGGGAATGGGAGATGGGGCGTGGGGTAAGGGGCATGGGGCATGGGGTATGGGGGCATGAGGCATGGGGCATAGGGCATGGTGCATAGGGCATGGGGCATGAGGCATGGGGCAAGGGGCAAGGGGCATGGGGCAAGGGGCAAGGGGCATGGGGCAAGGGGAATGGGGCAAGGGGCATGGGGCAAGGGGCATGGGGCAAGGGGCAAGGGCATGGGGCAAGGGGCATGGGGCAAGGGGCATGGGGCAAGGGGCAAGGGGCAAGGGCATGGGGCACTGGGCATGGAACAAGGGGCAAGGGTATGGGGCATGGGGCATGGGAATCGGAGTAGAAAAAGGGGGTGCAGAGAGAAAATCATATGGGGAGAGGACGACCATACATGGACCATGGAACGGAAGGGTGGAGGAGAGGGGTGGGTGGAGGAGAGAAGTGGGTGGGGGAGACGGGTATAACTGACCAGAGTGGTTTGAACAAGGAAATTAAATCCATTCGTCCACTCATACCACTAGACAGCACACATGCGGTTTTTATGAGGTAAGCAGCATGCTGTTTCATGCCATTCCAGCAATCCCTCCTAACCATGCCAACCAACCATCCCACACCCCCAACGCCAGCCCGGCATGCCCGTACAGGTTGTGTTGCAGCAAGGTTGATGAGACCGTGGGAGAAGAGGAACATGTAGGCTGTCATGGAGGAGAGCACTGCCAGAGAGAGCGCTGCTGACACCTGGGAGGGGGGAGGAGAGGAGAGCACACACACAGGGGACGGGATGCAGGGGCACACAGGGGGGAGTTGGTGGTGGAGAGGAGTTGAGAGGGGAGGAGAGAAGAGGAATATGTAGGCTGTCATGGAGGAGAGCACTGCCAGGGAGAGCGCTGCTGACACCTGGGAGGGGGGAGGGGAGGAGAGGAGCACACGGGGTGGAGAGGAGAGTTGGGGGGGTTGGGGGGAATGGGGTGGGGGGGAGAGAAAGGAATGGTGAAGGGTGTGAAGAAAAGAAGAAGTGGGTGGTGGGGGAGAGGAAAGGAACACGAGCCAGCAAGTAGGAAAGATACGAGATGAAGAGGACGAAGAAGAAAACTCCACACACATACTCAAAACCTGTGGCCCATCCCCCAACTCCATACCCACACCAAACCCCAAAGCCCGAACCTTAAGCCACAAGCCCTAAACCCTGAGCCCGGCACTCCAACACCCAACACCCTCTCCCTCCTCCCCCTCTTCTCCCCCAACCCTGCAACTGCAAGCACAACGAGCGTGTGAGAGTGAGGGGGAACGGCCATTGACCTGCCCATATTTGCGTGTGGGTTAGGTGGTTGTGGTCCAGGTCGAACACCTTGGCGTAGCTGACCCACCCTCTCTCCTCCTACACCCCTCCCCCCCTCCAAGAGCAAGTGTAGCCTTCTCACGAGTAAGGGGAACGGCCATTGACCTGCCATATTTGCGTGTGGGTGAGGTGGCTGTGGTCCAGGTCAAAGACCTTGGCGTAGCTGACCCGCGAGTGTGCCAGCCCGTACAGGTTGATGCCCCACAGCCACACCATCAGCGCCTGGGGGGGGAAGGAGCAGTGGGAGAGGGGGGGGGAGGGGATTACAGCTGCTTCAGAGGGGCGTTTGGAGTTCAGAGTTGGATGGCTTAGCTCTCCAGGATGACACATGGCACATAAGATTACGAGCAGCGGAGTGCAGATTGACATCAGTTAAGGGGCTGCTGTTGAGGCGCCACAGAACCCGTATCATCACACAGACAAAGAGGGCACGTACGATCATGGCATGAGGAGAGGGTTGTAGTAGACAAAGGCCTGGTACAAGAAGACTGAGTCTCTTTGAAAGGCCTGAAACGATACTGTCTCGTCACACAGACTGGTTGACAGCGCACGTACAATCATGAGGAGGGGGTTGTAGTAGAGGAAAGCCTCGTAGAAGAAGAGGGACTGCAGGCTGCGATCCATGCGGTCCACTGAGTCCTTCATCACCTGTGGAGGAGGAAAGAGAGAGAGAGGCGCAGATGGGAGCGCAGGGGGAGGGCAGGGGGAGGGCAGGGAGAGGGCAGGGGAGGGCAGGGAGAGGGCAGGGGCGGGCAGGGAGAGGGCAGGGGGAGGGCAAGGGGAGGGCAAGGGGAGGGCGGAGGGGGGAAGGGGGAGGGCAGGGGGAGGGCAAGAGGGGAGCAGGGGGAGGGCAGCGGGAGGGCAAGGGGAGGGCGGTAGCGGGGCAGGCAGGGGAAGGGCAGGGGGAGTGCCAGGAGGAATGCCATGGGGCAAGTGCATGAGGAAGAGGCAGGGAGAAAAGGGTACGATAGGGAACGATTATTTTTTGCAAGCTGAGCACAGAGGGACGAGAGGGACGAGTGAGGAGACATGATTGAGATAGCGAGCGAGAGAACCAAGGGCAGAGAGAGGGGGTGAGAAGGGGTGATAAGGAAGAGAGGGGAGCAGCGCGGGAAAAGGGGAAGGGGGAAGAATGGGGAGAATGGGCGAGAAGGAAATAAACGAGGGGTGAGAGAATGGGAGAGGTGGAGGGAGTGAGATAGAGTGAGAGGGAGAAGGAGCAATAAGAAGCGGTGTTCAGGTGGAGGGGGGAGGGGAAGGGGAGAGGGAGGGGGTAGACGCCTCGAAAGAGTTTGTATGGAAGAAAGGTTGGGAGACAAAAGTTGAGCAGTGGGAGTTAAGGGAATTTGAGGGGGAAGGGACCAGGAGGAGCAAGTCTCACCTTTAAACAGAAGACGATCCATAGCAGTCCGAGACCCCACTGCATGGATTGGTTGAGGATGGGCGAAGGCGGCGAAGGCAATGCGTAGGAGGAACGAACACAGAAGAACGCCATACAGACACAGACACCAGACAGATCACACGCGCACAAACACACCCACCCCACACACACATACCCACGCACACCCACACCACACTAGCACGCACATACACACACCAGACGCACAGATGCACACAGACACACGCGCGTGCGCAGAGGGGAATATTCGGGGAACTTATAGTCAGCAATCGCGTGCGCTAAGAGCTAAATGACTCTGCTACGCCACGTAGAAGCTAACAGCAATTGCTCGTCGTCTGAGGACCAAACACGCTCTATCCTGCCAACTGTAATCGGAGTGACAACAGTCTTGAGTAGCGTCGACGAGAATAGCAAGTCAGGCAGTGGGCTGTAGCCAATCGCGTGCTTGGGGCTAGCAACGTCGGTTAAAATAGCTTCAAGAAGTGATTTAGGAAATCGCTTACGGAATGAGTCGTCTCAGATGTATCGACAACGATAGGTTCTGGTCTGATGCTCCATGATAAGGCACACGCGCAAGCGATGGCCGACAATATATCTCACACGAAATTGTCCAAGCAGGGAGAGTTGTAGCAGGTCCTTGTGAATCATTGTCAACGGATGACCACAGATCACCTGAATTTAATTCGCCTACCTGGATTCGGCTTCGTCGCATCAAGGGAAGGATGAAGGTGGTCAGGGTCGCCGGTCCTGTCATTTTCGAAGGGGACATAAGCCCTGGCGGTCCAGATGTGCCACTGATAGACGGGCTGGACGTGACCAATGACGGCTTGCCACCTGGCGATCGCGGGGGGTCGACCCCTCCGAGCATCGCCAGATGCGAGCCGGATAACCAGCCGAAGAGGAGCTTCTTTCTCGCCAGGAGCGCGGTGACGCCTAAACGGGCGTCATACACGGAAGGCTATATATGACGGGTACGGAGGACGCTTTTCCGAAGGAGGGTTCTGGGAGGAGTAATGAGGGTGATAGCTACCAAGGGGGAATAGGTAGATCCAGGCGAAAGACTGGAATGTCCTGGAAATAAATGGAGCAGAAACGCGATACGGTTGACAATTGGGGGTGCTGACGATTGGCGTGAATGATCTGGGATGCTGTGGTCTGGCTATGGTTAGTCATGCCCTATGGTGTGATTCATAACGTAGAAGGCGACATGCCTCCGGCAATGAGATACACAGGATGACGACTATGGCTGGTAAGATGGTAGTGGATGTTGACGGACACTACGACATAACCTGTTAGGTCCAAGGATGAAGGGGAACGCGAATAGTTACTAGAGCCAGCGACGGCGTCGGTTCGGTTGCACAGGGGTACGTGGTCGGAATGGATTATGTATCGGCCTATCCGTCAACGCATGCATCTAGTGCGACGGTCGTAACAAAGAATCTTAGCAGGCTTGACTCCACACTCACATTTGACCCATGTCATCTGTAATATAATAGGTTTTACCACAGCAGATTCCTTCAGCTACAGAGGATAGCGTCATCTGTAATATAATAGGTTTTACCACAGCAGATTCCTTCAGCTACAGAGGATAGAACAAGGTCGAGCAGGAGAAACCCAACTGACAGACAGAAGAGCGGGAAACGAATCCCAAGGCTGGAATCGTCGCACAGAAAAAGCTAGTGAAGCCTCGAGCCAGTCGCACACAAGCCCTTCGAGCACTGAACTGGTGGCGGGCGACATGAAAGTGGTCGCAAGAATGCTGGAGTTCCATGTTAAAGTCGCAACACTGAACCGCGATTGGCTGGATCTTCACCACAGAAGTTCACGAAGCGAGAGGAATGTTCGCCTCACCAACTTCTCCCACTGCGAATCGGGGAGTTCGAGGCAAAAATCTCCAGCTTTTCCTGCCAGACCAAATGGTTGCGGTTGGATCTGATTGGTCAATTTAGGTCAGGGGGACACAAGAGTTCTGGGGAAGGGAATTGTGCTTCTCGCTGCAATTTGGCACTTGGTTGACCGCATACTCGCATGAGACATTCGCCATCAAAAGGTACCGTACTTCTACGCAGGAGACCAGTATTCCATTATGACAACATTTTTCAGATGTAATGAAAATTCCTTTTCCTCACTTCGCGTCCCTGCTGTTATGAGTTGTAAAAGAGAGTGCGCAGGTTTAACGAATAACGAGAAGGTGATTGAACAGACTGATTACACAATGAAGGCACACGCTAATATAGTGAGTAGGCTAGCTAGGAGGGAACTTCAGGTGAGTGAGGTTGGGTGCAGGTTTGGCGAAGAGAAAAGCCGAAGGCGACGCGAGGAGGCTCGGCATCGTTGATGTCGGCCAAACGTGCAGAGTCCGAAAATCGGGGCAGTACGCAAAGCAGTCAACCCCGATAGGGAATTCAGGAAATTTCCTTACACCTGCTCTCAGCGCGTACACCACTGTTCCCGCCAACAACACCCAACAGTAAACCGTTACCACTCGCGACACTCGCCTTAACTACTGCTCCCGCCACTGTTCACGACGCGACCCAACCTCACGGTTCGGTTGGTAACCCGCGCTCCGGACCTCCACCTCGACAATCCCCAACCTCGGCGCTAGGCCCGTCGCGCACCCCATTTTCACACATTACCGTTACCACTGGAGCTTCACTATATATTCTTCGCTCATGCCTGCACTCATTGTATTGTTTGCTTCGATAGTGCAATTCTCGCTCGCTCGCTCAATTGCACTCGTAACACTTGGTATTCATAGCCTACGATCTCTTATTGGACCGCACCCACACCTTCGCTTCCCCACTTTCTCATTTTTTGGAGGGGGTAGACGTCTCTCAACGACCAAGCACCGCCGCTCGAATTGCTCTCTCGTAAGCACGCACGGCCACGACAGAGGCTCTCGCTGAGCTTGCCCGACACCCCCGCCATGGCCAAATTCAACCTCGCGACATTGACGCAGGAGCAACTCGACCGGCTCGTGCGCCAACTCGAGGACTCGCAGCTCGAGATTGCGACGCTCACGGCAGAACGCGACTCTGCCCTCCAGCAATCGACAGCGAATGCACCTGCACCAGCACCGGCAAATGAACCAGTGCAATCGGATGAGCTGATTGTTATCACATCCAGCACACCATCACAGCACGACAGCGTGGGACAGCGCTCAAGTGCAGCCAGTGATGGCGCCGCCCAGTCAATGCCTGGCATGGAGAGGAACAGGGCCGCACCAAGCACGAATGGGCCTCGCGAAGCCCGTCGTCACGTCGAGTTAGCAACAACGATCAGCAACGACGACATCGGCGCACCAATGCCACTCAAGCCGCAGCGCCCGCCCTGCTTCGATCCTAGCCAACGCGGAGGTCCAACGGTTCAATCGTGGGTCTTCACGACGAACCCGTTTTTTAACGCTAATTACGTCACATCGAACGCAGTGAAGATCAGATACGCGGTTTCGCTGTTACGGGGCCCCGCCATGGATTGGTGGCGAGTCATTGTGACGTCGCCACGCGCCTACGAGCCGCTGTTGTTAAATTGTATATGTATACAATATTCTATAACTGCTTGTAGTGTAGATTTAGTGTAGTTATATTCCTTATTGTTGTGGTGCACCTTCTTCCTATTTGTACCCTCGCTCAATATTGAATCCACCTCTTTCTTCTATTCTCCTTCCTCAACTCTCTCGACATCCAAGCTAGCACCTTGAACCCTAGCCATGGCTCCTAAGAACTAACTAGCTACTTTCGACATGGTATCTAGATCAGGTCCGTCCTCTGGACCTCCGTTTCGTTTTCGTAACATGGGCCCACCACTTGCTAACGTGCAGCTCGCCCCGTCGCCCCTGCTGTCCCGGTCACGCCACGTTGGTCACGTCGCGACCAACGAGAAGCAGGCCGCGACGACCAACGCGGCGCGATTTGCGCTGGTCGTCAGCATCCCCGTTCGCTGCTCGTCGTCGCTTTGTCGCCCCGTCGCCCGCCCGTTGGCCGCCGCGTCCTGCTCGTCGCGAACTCCGGCGTGGCCCCCGTTCCAGCCCCCCGTCCCGCCCTGTCGCGGCCCTAACCGCGACGCTTTTCGCGCCCGTTGCGCGCGCCCGTTTCGCCCGACCCCACTGCTCGTCTCGCCCCCCCCCCCCCCCCCCCCCCCCCCTCCCCCCCCCCCCCCCACCCTTGTCGCGGCCGTACGTGTCTACAGCGACGGTCGCTGTTGGGGGGGGGGAGGGGAGGGAAACGGGGAAGGGGATGATGGCCGTGGGAGGAGGCGGGAGTGCAGGTGGAACTGGCGGGCTGTGGGGGGAAGGGTAAGGGAGTGGGGAGAGAGTCTCTGCCGCGCCAACAGCCGCCCCTCCTCCTCTCTCTCTCACTGCCGCGCGTGCAGCAGTGGGGGGGGGGAGGGTTTGGGGGTGGCGGGTGTGAGCAACCTGCTGCAGCCCCTCCTCCTCTCTCTCTCACTGCCGCACGTGTCGCTGTGGGGGGAGGGGGAGGGGGTGGCGAAAGGGGTGCGGCTGAACAAGAGGGGGGGTGGTGAGAAAGAGGTTTGAGGGGGGTGGGGGGAGTCGTGGGCCCAGCAGCGCCATTCGCCAGTGAGCCCGTTGCTCTAGTCGCCCGAGGGTCAGTTGCTCTAGCCGTACGAGCGGGATGCTCCAGGCGTACGAGCCCGTTACCCCAGTAGCCCGTGAGCCAGTAGCTCCAGTTGCCAGTGTGCTAGCCGCTTCAGCCGCCGCCCCCACCTCCTCTCCTCCTTCTCGCTCTCCCTCCTCACTTCCTTCTGCTTGGTGTACCCCTTCTGGGGGTGTTTCTGCACATGGTTCTTCACTATAGGCAGTTAGGGGGTGTGTTAAATTGTAATTGTATACAATATTCTATAACTGCCTGTAGTGTAGACTTAGTGTAGTTATATTCCTTGTTATTGTGGTGCACCTTCTTCCTATTTGTACCCTCGCTCAATATTGAATCCACCTCTTTCTTCTATTCTCCTTCCTCAACTCTCTCGACATCCAAGCTAGCACCT